AACACGAAGGCCTGGTAACTGTTCTGCTGGGCTGGTGCTGATGGAAACAGCCAAAGGCATCCTGGACTCCTGCTGGTTTACACTGGACCAGCTGGTTTACACTGGCCACTCTGAAAGTGCAGGCAGTGACTTCAGTCTGGTTTTAGCAATGGCTAGCAAGACAAGGTCAAGGCTGGCTTTTAAAAGGCCCTTGGTATTTCCACAGCATTGTGCTCACTTGAGCGCCTGGTTATGTGCATGCAGCGTCAACAGGTCATCCTGATAAGGAGCTGTCAGAAGCTCAACAGCTCAGGCAGAACCCATGTGCAGCTATGTAGCTCACTGAACTCTCAAGGCCAGTCTTCCCAAATCCTCTGGCTTCACTTTGAAATTATCCCCCATCAGGCTTGCAAAAAACTGATCCTAATATTCCTAGAAAATGAAATTTGAAGTCTACTAAACCTGCCTTCGGTGGTTAGTTCTATCTAAAAATATCATGGGATTAAACCTCTAGGAAAGAGTATTCCAGGCCAGGTGTTCTCTGAGAACAAATGTAGTATGACAGTTTATGTTAACCTTGCCTAATTTTAAATAAGTAGACTATGTTTTATACTTAAAAGTAACAACTCAGAATACCCTGGGTACCCTAGTACACTTCTCAAAGAGAGTATATGAGTTATCGACTGCTGTGTTAACAAGTTACTCTAAAACACAGTTAAACAACAAACATTTACTCTCTCAGTTTCTGCAGTGAGAAGTTTGAGGGTGGCCTGGCTGGTTCTGGCTCAGTCTCTCAGGAGATCATGGTCAAACACTGCCATGTGAAAGTTTGAAAGGGCCTGGAGGATCTGCTTCCAAGATGGCTCCCTCATGAGGCTTTCAGCAGGAGGCCTGTTCCTCACCTCTGGGTCCTCTCCACAGAGCTGATTGAGTGGCCTCACAATGAGGTTGCTGGCTTTCCCACAGTGAGTGATCTGAGAGAGAGCAAGGAGGACACAATGTCTTTTGTCACCTAGTCTCAGAAAGGACACGTCATCTATCTGTTGGAAAGGAGTCACTCAATCCGGCCTGAACTTAGGGCAAGGGGCACAAAAAGCCCTTACGGACAGGTGTGTCAAAGGACTTGTGGAAAGATTTTACAACCACCACAGATGGCAAAGCATTATTTCCTTATTTGTTCACAACAACTTACCAGTGCTCACTGCACCTTCTATTATTTGCAAATTAATGTTTTTTTAAACCAGCAACATTAATTATCTGTCAAGTATCCAGATAGATAATTAAAATATACCAACATCTGGAAAGACAGATCTGCTTTTGATAAGTTTCCTGAAGATTAACTTCACATTATTAACAAAAACAACATCCCTGCCTCAAAAAAATTCAAAACGCTTCTTAAGCAAGAGAGACTAATGGCAATGGTAACTTATTAAGGAACAGAATAATGACTGTACCAAGTATCTTCCTTTCCCCCCCAGATATCTATTAATATTCATTTCTTTTCTAGACAGAAACCAATCCATGGTAAAATACTTTTATTCCATTCTTACATAGCGTATATATAATCAGTAGAAAAACTGCATGTCTTTAATACAGGCCATACTGTAACTGTTTCCACCTAGTGGATGAAAGTAGTACTAAAAGGGTTTGAAAAACTGTAAAACATCCTTCCTAGATACTTCATGAGTTATACACTTCTGTAACTTTTTACAATCATATCACATACTTGATATATATGGGTGTAGGTCCATGTCAACAGAGCCTACAGAAATTCTTTCTCTAAAGCAAACACTTTGCTTAATAAATGTAAATTTTAGTATTTGCTGCCACTTCTGGAATTCTCCAGGTCAACAACCTGGAATACTGCTGTGAACCAGGAACTGATCCAAACAGTCTCCTAGCAGCCAACGGGTGTCACAGTGTCCCCACACTGAAGCCCTGCTAGTGACAACTGAAACAGCAGGAGATGGCTGGGTGCCTGGTACACAAAACTCAGTGCAGATCTGTTAAAGGAACCAGTCAAGCCAATGCACTTTACTTCAAAGCAGAGTCTCCCAAAACCTAGTTTCTCCTTCCTCCCTTATACACTAGTCCTAGAAACATTCAGATCTAAAGTCTAATCTCACAGCAGGTCAGAGGAAGCAAGAAGTAACTCAGGAAAGTTCCTTTTGGTCAAGCTGTTAAGACAGACAACCAACAGCAAGTAAGAAAAATCCTGGAAAAGAGACACAAAACAAAGCATATCATTCCTGGAGTCGGGCAATCAGGGAACAGATAATATTGTTTATGATAACTGTGGAGTTATCAAGAAATGGTTATTTTCCATTTACCATTTAAGAATGTAACATTGCCGGCTGTGGTGGCTCATACCTGTAGTACTAGTACTTTGGAAGACAGAGACAGGAGGATTGCTTGAGCCCAGGAGTTTGAGATCCTGTCTCCCTCCTAGTTTCTGCAACACAGACATTCAAACAGAATGACACAGACACACAGAGTTCCTCAGTCCTCTTTCTCAGCAGTGGCCACTGAACACTTTAGTATGCATTCTTTTTTTTTTTTTTTTTTGAGTTGGAGTCACTCTGTTGCCCAGGCTGGAGTGGTGGCACACTCATGGCTACTGCAGCCTTAACCTGCTGGGCTCAGATGATCCTTCCACCTCAGCCTTCCATGTAGCTGGAACTGCAGGCATGTACCACCTCGCTTGGCTAATTTTTTGACTTATTGTAGAGATGAGGTCTCACCAAGTTGTCCAGGCTGGTCTCAAACCCACGGGCTCAGGCAATCCTCTCACCTCAGCCTCCCAAAGTGCTGGGATAATAAGTGTGAGCCACCACGCCTGGCCTCATATGTATTCTTCATAAACAAATCAATGCACATGAACACTCATCCTTGTGGAATCGCAGACACCCTGGAATTTATCTGTCTCTCCATCATCAATCTGTACTTTAATACACAGGGTTTTTGTTGTTGTTCTCTCTCTGCAAATTCTAAAAATTAAGCTAAGAAAAATTCCCCAAATTTGACTTCACAGGTTCCTCCTTTTACTTTTGTTAAAAACAAAAAAGCTACCAAAAGTATCCCAATTTCAAATATCAATCATTTTTCCAACTGAAGAGAGCAAGAATAGTAATTTCTTTTTGTCTTACAAAACTTTGATTTTTAATAAATTAATCTTTCTAAAGGCATGTTTTTCACATAATTCAATTGAAAATGTAACTGAATACCCATTATGTGCAAAGTAGTGTGCTATGTACATAGTAAAAAAAAACCATGAAGAGCTTGGTGCTCATATGGTAGAGGGAGGGAAGGAAGGTGGGAGAGAGGGAGATTGAGGGAGAAGTAACCACTGTCATCAATTACTGAAGGCTGGAGAGGAGGCTGGGTTAGACGCAGAGGACAGCACACAGCATGCCACTGGCTGGACAAAACAGACATGGCACTCACTCCTGATGCCTCCAGCTTCCTCCTGCTTCCGCATCATCGTCCATGCTCTTTCTTACTTATTCTAAGCTGCCTGAGCTTTATTGCTTCCAAGTAATTTTGAACCCTACAAGATGATACTGAATGGTTAACTTGGATTAGGATAACAGTGCTCAAGGCCTGAAATTACAAAAGAAAGCCTAACAATACACTACACATTTAATCGCTCTGCAGAGACTTTTTTGCATGATTTTGCTTCTAAAATTCTTCTAAGTATTTTCTTCTTCCCTAAAGTAGGGTGGGGCGTAAAACTTTGGTGGTCTCACCCATACCATGGATGTGAAAAAGAAATAGGATTATAATTCAGATGCTTTCTAAAAGAAGACATGGCCAGGTATGGTGGCTCCTGCCTATAATCCCAACACTTTGGAAGGCCGAAGTGGAAGAAATGCTTGCGCCCAGCAGTTCAAAACTAGCCTAGGCAACATAACAAAACCTTGTCTCAACAAAAATTAAAAAAAGTATATAAACTAGCTAAGGGTGGTGGTACATGCCTATAGTCCCAGTTATTTGGAAGGCTGAGAAGGGAGGATTGCTTGACTCAGGAGTTCAGAGGCTGCAGTGAGTTGTGATCGTCACTGTACTCCAGCAGTCTGGGTAACCGAGCGAGACCCTGACTAAAAAAATAAAAATAAAAACAAAAAACAAAATAAAAAAGGCTCGGTGGCTCAGCCTGTAATCCCGCGCCTTTGGGAGGCTGAGGTGAGTGGATTGCCTGAGCCTGTGAGTTCGAGACCCGCCTGGGCAGCGAGACCTCATCTCTACAATAAATAAAAAAATCAGCCGGGTGTGGTAGCGCATGCCTGTAATTCTGGCTACTTGGAAGACTGAGGCGGAAGGATTGCCGGAGTCCAGCAAGTCGAGGCTGCGGTGGCCAGGAGCGGCCACTGCACTCCAGTCTGGACAACAGAGTGAGACTCCAACTCAAAAAAAAAAAAGTGAAGAGGCATTTAATAAAGATAATATATGCTCTTCTAAAGTCCAAAACTACACAACGGCTCTGGAGAAAGAACATAAATCATCTGTTTGTCTTCAGGGCAAAGAAGACAAATACAATTTTGGCTTAAGGACCATACAGTAGCAATTACTAAAAGTCCATGTTTTCTTTCTCAAGAAGACAGAACGCTAAAGAACCCACCAACTTGTAACTCTCTCATCTCCATGGTTGTGGTCCGCTCACAACCAGAAGGAGAACAAGGTACAAGATGTTAGCATGAGTAATGTTTTCCCCAAAGGTCAGACATTTATACAAGTGAAACTTATCTGTGAATTTTTCAGGGAAATATTTTCTTTGCTTTTTGGTTGAATCTGCAAATAAGACATCTAGATCACTAGATAACAGCATTCTTATGAAAACAAAAACAGTGTGAAATTGAAATGGTTACTAAATATAAATGTGGTGTTAGTTTCTTCTAATTATTTAAGAAGTCCCTAAGTAAACAGCTTACGAAGGCTTCAAAATGTAATAACACTTTTGTATGCATTCTTCAAAAACAAATTAATGCACATAAACACTCATGATGGAAATTCTGAGCTACATGAACATTGAATAAAATATTTATTATGATTTTTCCCCCCGTGACATAAGATTGTTTATTTGTCTCAGCTCTCCAAACGACACTGTTGCTGAACCTCTTTCAGCTGGTCTTGCCTGAAAACAATAATAAAGATTAAAGATATTAGAAACAGATAGATGGACACAACCCCGATTAACCCTTTAATGCTGTCTTATATTTAAAAAAAAAACATACCCTAAATTAATAAACAATAAAAAATAAATGAAAACACGAACCCACAAGAAAAGTGCTACCTGAGACTCATGGTATTTCCACCCAATCATGTGGTAGATCTGGTATGTGGCAGGCACAGAACCATCCTCATTCCCGTACATTTCTATAAGGACAAACAACGGTTAAAGGAGGGGAAAAGTGTCTGTTCAATCAAAGTCATGTCCTCCAAAGAGAAATGGGTGCTAGGACACTTGTAGGATACTGAGAACACCTCACATGGAAGATTCTGAATACTAAGAGGCTGATAGTAAGGAAATGGTAAGGGCTGCCTGGAAAAAGATGGAGCTACAGGAGCTGTGTTTTGAGAGGAAGGCCACACAGTCTGGAAGAGCCTTAATGGGAAAGGATAACGCATTGGCAACGTCAAAGGAATCAATGCAACATGCACAGGGAAAGAGAGGTTGCTCACTTACCTCTGTACACCGCAGCAGCCGCCAGCATTGTGTCTCGGTGCAGCAGCGCTCTTCTATTCCAAGAGCAGTTGCTCTCACCCATCCCTAAAAACACACTATGGGCAGCTTGAGATAATACAGAAGACACCCTGCACAGCTCAGTATCACAGACCTAATCCCATCTCATCAACAATATACCCAACAGTCACGTCAAACACCCAAATCTGACTTCACTTTCAGATTAAAGTGAGGCTTCTTAGTAATTCTTTTTTTGAGTCAGAGTCTCACTCTGTCACCTAGACTGGAGTGCAGTGACACGCTCACAGCCACTGCAGCCTCGACCTCCTGGGCGATCCTTCCGCCTCAGGCTTCCAAGTTGCTGGAACCACAGATGTGTGCCACCACAACTGGTTAATTTTCTTATTTATTGTGGAGACGAGGTCTCACCAAGTTGCCCAGGCAGGTCTTGAACCCCTGGGTTCAGGCAATCCTCTCACCTCAGCCTCCCAAAGTGCTGGGATTATAGGCTTGAGTCACCATGCCCAGCCTAACTTCTTGGTAATTCTACTGGAAGCTTCTTGGATGTTAAGACAGGCAAAGAAATCAAATTTCAGGAGGCAAGCCCCATGGTGCTTTATTTGCCAGCAATGGTCTAAAATAAGCCAGCTGGACAAAGGCAAAGTGATTGGCCCCCACAAGGTGTAACTCTCCGGGACACCACATCTTATGCACCTTTTAGTGCCACAATGCCTCATTTCTTCTAAGCCATAATGTTTGGTTGTGACACTTGGAAGATGACTTTGAGACTCATTAGATAGTATTAAAGCTACTATGTGTTCACAGATTTTACAATATTTTATGAATTCCAAGTTAGAAAAGAATTATGTGCATTTTTTTCAGAGACACTTCTCTTAACGTTTTAAAATTTATTTTTAGACATCTTTCTTTCCTTCAAGTCGATAGTTCAAAGCTAGAATTATTTTCTGTTCTATAAATTTAATGCTGTACATTTTATTTTCTTTATGAAAATATTTAAAATTACTTTTTTTTTCTTTTTTTTCTTATAAAGATGTGGGGCACAATTCAGGGTTAGGTATACAAAAGTTGATTATGCAGGTACCCTTGATGATGAGGTATGCCCCTCCCTCCCCTAGCAGTTTCCCTCAACTGACAATCCCACCCCCCTCCCCTGACAGTTTCCCACTACCGCCAATCCCTTTCTTATAGCTTGTCCCTTGAAAATTACTTTGAAAGGGCACATTTTAAATCAGTCTGTGGCTGGCCACAATGACTCATGCCTGTAATCCCAGAACTTTGGGAGGCTGGGGCAAGAGGACTGCCTGAGCCCAGGAGTTTGAGACCAGCCTGGGCAACTTGGTGAGAACTCGTCTCTACAATAAGTCAAAAACTTAGCCAGGCGTAATGGCGCATATCTGTGGTTCTAGCTACTTGGAAGGCTGATTTTTGTGGAAGGACTGCCTGAGTCCAATGGGTCAAGGCTGTGGTAGCCGTGAGCGTGCCACTCCACTCCAGCCTGGAGGACAGAGTGAAACTCCGATTCAAAAACATACAAACAAAAAAATCAGTCTGTAAAATTAAAAGAATTTCAAAAATCCTATGTGAATTCTCTATATTAAACTTTATCACATGATCAAGTGTCAGTTTCTCGGTTTTATTTTTCTACTTTCACAAATCAAGAAATGAATACACTTTCCTCATTTTATCATCTACAAAATGGAATGATAATACTTCCTAATGCCTAATACTTTCCTCTGAAGACCACCGTGAAAAACTAGGACTTTGGGACTTCTGACTTGCTCCAGGCTTTGGGATAAAAGCAAAATCTGGCTAGCAGGTAGCTACTTAAGACTCTCACAGTGTTTTTAAGGTTAAATTCAACTGCTTATTAAAAAATCAAATTTATTATGGTTTACTAGGAACAATACTGAGTATTGTCTTAAAAAGAAATATCTGAACTGAACTTACCTTAAAACCACTGTGAAAGCCTTGAAAATGTCTCATGCATTCATCGGCTGATAATACAACTTGTTTTGTAAAATTAGGTCAACATTCTGGATTTTTTTTCTGTGAATTAATAATAATAGCAGCTTAAATGAAACACATCATAACCATCAAGAAAAAAATATACCACAAATGTAAAATGCCAAAAACAAGTTGGAAAGTAACACTATCTCCTGGTCAACACAGCAGCTGGTCTCCCAGCTCCTCCCTCCTCCATTCATCCCTGACCACTCCTCTCCCCATCCCACCTGCCTCTGACTTTTCCACGGTAAGGTGGTGGAGAATTTAGGATACGAATCAAGCTGCTTGACTAGGTTTAAAGTCTTGGCTCCACCATTGACTAACTACACCATCTTGGACAAATACTTAACTTCTCTGTGTCACATACACAACAAGACTTAATTAACCCTGTCAGCTCTGGTCATACTGTCCTCATAAGCTATGCCTCATACACTATGCTGGAAGGTGAGCTTTTTAACACATGAATCTACCTAACTTTCTCTCCTCTGTGCAAAATTCTTCTAAAGACACTACTACAAAGCTCACCTGAAAAAATCTGGAAGCTTCTGATCCTATAGCATTTCCCACCCTCTTCCCATCCTATACACTCCAGTAACACTGAATTACCAGCAGCTTTGTCAGGAGAGGGAGGTGTGCACAACCTTTTCTGTTTCCATGACTCTACAGTTGTTTCCTCTGTGTGGGATGCAATGCCCACCCCCAAGCCTGAACCCACCCTTCATTCTCGTGGCAAACTCATTTTGACTTAGGTGCTGCCTCTTTTGCAAAAGCATCCCTAACTCCCTAAGCAGATTTAGGGCCTTTTCTCCTGTGTTTCCATGTACTTTAAAAATCAATGATCTCATTTTACAATTGAATGCATATGTCTGTCTCTTCCCCTCTACTAGAATACAAGCTCCCTGAGATCAGGAACTATGTGTTTCCACCACTGGGTCAGTGGCTGGGACTGATAGGGGCTCCATGAATGGTAAATGAATAAACAGGAAAAAAAACCCCAATTAATGGTTATATCTGTTTTGTTAAATATCACTTTTGCAAGTTTTCTTGGAAAAATTCCTCTTAATTCTCCTAAGTATAAGAGACATCAAAGACTAATTATATGACTTCTGTAAAAGATTTCACAGTAAAAATAAGAGAAGCACTAGCAAAGCCTCCTAAAGGTAAATATTAGGCAATAGTTCCTCAAAATACATGACTTACTTAAAACCCTTAGGGGAAGAGTGGGTTATCAGCTGGGAAGGAGCACAGGGCAACCTTCTGGGAGACTGAAAATGTTCTATAATTTAGTCGGGATGGTGGTTAGAAATACAAGCAGCTATATCTTTAAGATAAATGCACTTGCTGAACATATATGCTAACTTCAATTTAAAAACCACACACAATCAAGTACACAGTATAGGACTCTGAATTCAAATCGTTACTATAGATTTAGTGTAACCACAGACAAGGCACTTAACCTCTTGATCGTCAATTTGCTCACATGTCAAATTAGGATATAAGAAAACCTCAGAGAATTGCAATGAGCAGATTAAACACTGTACATATTTTTAAATCAGTGTGAAGTAACCTTTTCCAACTGATAGGTCTAATTTCTAGTCTCTTTCTCTTTTATTTCTTGAAATGAATCATGAGTATAGCATTCATTATATAGCAGAACAAAAATAAATGCTGTATTTGAAAATACTCTTGGCCGGGCTCAGTGGTTCAGTTTGTAATCCCAGCACTTTGGGAGGCCAAGGCGAGTGGATTGCCTAAGCCCGTGGGTTTGAGACCAGCCCAGGCAACTTGGCAAGACCTCGTCTCTACAATAAAATAAAAAATTAGCCGGGCATAGTAGCATGCGCCTGTAGTTCCAGCTACTTGGAAGGCTGAGACGGAAGGATCGCCGGAGCCCAGCAGGTCAAGGCTACGGTGGCCGTGAGTGTGCCACTGCACTCTAGTCCAGGTGACGGAGTGAGACTCCAACTCAAAAAAGAAAAGACTCTTATCCTTAGAGTTTGAGTGAGAATCTTCAGCCCACCAGCATCTCTTAGGCCTTTGTTAAAGGGGCTTCTTGATTACATCAGGGTGGGCTAAGTGTATGAGGCAGTCTTGGGAAGGGACTGTGGGATTTATTACTGATCCTCTGTCATCTTGGTATGCCTGCTACAGGCTGCTTATGCTTCTACATTGTGATATAATGACGCAAGTGAACCAGTGATGGGTTTTCAGCTACACAGCCTTCCCTTTGTAAAGCTCACAGAAGCGCCACACTCAGAGGAGGCTGGACAGTGAGTAAAATGTACCATGTTACAAACAGGCAACTACAAACTATAGGACCAGTTAAGAGAGCACCAGGGCAGGAGTTGAGAGGGCAAGCGTTTGGTACTAATTCTGCCAGTAGCAGGCAAATGTTTTCTTAGGGCCTGATTTTTCTCACTTGGAACATAGGGAAACAAGTGAAATAAAGTTCACAAAAACAAAAACAAAAAACCACTGTAAATCTGTAAATAAAGGCCAGATACCTATTTTTATAAACCTCTTACTAAGTTTTATCATCTTACAGTTTTTCAGGATCCAGATTAAGGCTCCCCTTGGTAAGTATAGTTCTGGTTGCACAGAACATACCTTTATCCCTCTGGCTTCCCCCATTTATCAAAACTATGACATTGATTAAAAAAACAAACACACAAACACCTCACAAGTTCTCACACAGGAGGCAAGCTGAGGCTCTCTCTAGAGGATATCACTCCTCCCGCACTCCTTTCAAACAGCAGAAGTTTATTTTTGTATGGCTCACCTCTTCTGGAGTTGGGTCTGTGTCCTTGCTACTCCTGAAAGGCTCTTCCCCTCACCCTGCTGAGGTCCAACCACTTGGCCATGACCTTTTCCTCTGACTCTCAATTCCTAAACCTCTGACTCTCTTATTCCCTGCATATGATATTATTTCCTGTTAGACTCGTGAGATGGGAACTTCTTGCTATCAAACATAAACACCTACATCCATTGGCACTACCCCTCACCCTTCTTCTATAGATCTTCCTCTCCCCTTTATATCTCACCTCCTCCCACCTTCTCAGGTACTTGACATCATCAGTTATCTTTTCTCTCTCTTCTAGAATCTCTTCTCCTAGGAAAGCACTTGGATTCTCCCAGTCAGGAGTTAAATAAATTCAAATCTTAGGATAAAACAAAACATTAAAACCCATCCCAACTCCTATTCCTCCTATCTGACACCTCTAACTTTTCCACCTCTTCTTTACAGCCAAACTTCTTGAGAGAAAGAACAGCATATAGTCATTGTCTCCAGTGCCCCACCTTCCATGTATTCCTCAACATACTCCTGCTCTAATCCCCTCACGCCAACAAAAAAGCTCTCACCAAGGCCACCAATCACCTTCTTGTTCCTAAACCCACTAAACCTAATGGTCTTCTTTCCAGTTCTTATTTTGCTTTGATGCTACTGAATGCACCTTGTTCTGGAATTATTTCCCTTGTTCAGGCAATCCTACACTATTCTGGTGCTTCTCCTGAACACCTTGCTGGCTATTCCTTCTCAGTTTCTTTTCAGGCTCATTCTTCTTCTACCCAGCTGCTATCTGGTAGGTTCCTAAAGGTTCAGGATCAAGCCACTGGCTCTGCTCACTCCATGCTCTCACCCTAGGCAACTGCTTCAAATATCCCCATTCACAAATGACTCACAACTTTTTAACTGGGCCAACAGCCTCCTCTGAGCTACCTATCCATATACCCAACTGCCTGTGTATCATTTTCCTTAGATTTTTTTTTTTAAAGCAGGATTTATTGAGAGGACAGAAAAGCTTCCCACAGTGGGAGGGAACCCGATGGGGTTGCCCCGCTCTTAGATATTTCAAAAAAATGTATCCAAATGTGAACTCAAGGGCCATCCCTGCCCACACCTGGTCTTGTATCCTCTATCGATGAAGGTCATCATCTCTGGTTTTGTGAGCTAGAAACTCAGCAGTTATATTTCAAATGTCTCTTTCCTTCATTTGTCCACATCTAATCCAGTAGCAAGAATTGTCAAGTTTGCCTCCTAGAAATCTCTGGAATACTTTCACTTCTCTTCATCTCCACTGCTACTGATACGGAGACCCACTACTGTCTGTCCATATTGCCACAGCTCCTAAAGAAGGGCATGGCCAGAGATCAAGTGGACCCGCACATACGCACATTCCTGAGAGCTAACAAAAGCAGCACTTCCCCTTATATCTTATGCACTCCCTGCTAACTTCAAAGAATGCTTAACTTCCCTGCAGACTGTGCCCAATTAACTGGGAGAAATAAATTCCCATTTACTCCCTTTTCTTAGTAGTCATAGGTTTGAATAATAGTATCAATGTAATCATAAGTCTAGCAATTTATATAACTTTTGCATATAACAACATGTAGTAACATATAATGTCTTAAGCCCTGTTAATTTCCTTTACTTTACAGCAAGCTTGATTAACACCTCTGCCTGGGGTTACCAATAAGAAACTGCGAGATACCTCTGGTAACTGATGCCAGGAAATGCGGACCACAAATGTCATCATTGACAAAATGCAACTGTAACTTAAATTCTATACAATGCTCTGCTAGTCACATGGTCAATGTATAGGTACCAACAACCCTGAACTTATAAAAGTGAACTGTAAACCTGAAGGGTGAGCAGAACCATTTTAGAAAGGCCAGGAGCCAGGTTCCACTCCCTGGATTCTAACTCAGAAATAAACTTGTTTCTATCAGTTTTCCTGCCTCTCAATTTATCGGTGTTGAGGGTAGCGGTCAAGCATTACTAGGCCTATAACACTACCAATGTAGTACAAACCACTATCACCTCTCAGAGAGCTTTACCATAATAAATCTCCCTACTAGTTTATCCGCCAATCTATTCTTCTCAAAACACAAATCTAATATTGTCACCTCTCTCCTCTCCATCCACTAAAATGCCTTAAGGGACATTTTAAGATAAGGACAAACCATCTTAACACAGTCTACAAGGTCCTGCTGCTTCACCTCTGACCCCCAGTCCATCAATGTCATCACTTTACTCTCTTGTCCTTAATCCCTGTACTCCAGCTACAACACCTTTCTTTAGTTCTTGCTGTGTTCATTCTCACAAAAGGGCCTTTGCATATGCTGTTCTCTCTTCCCTGCCCTTTCTACCTAGTTCACTAATCATTTTTTTAGAACACAGTTCAACTGCCACTTCATCAGATAAGACTTCAAGTCTCTCAGGATTGGGACCTTTCCCCCTGCCAAAACCCTACCCCTAAACTAACCCAACTACCTGCTTTCTTGAGCCTGGACCTCAGCTGCCAACTGTAGCTAGAGGAAGTCACTGGTATATGCTCTAGCATACTCAAGTGCACCCTTCAAAAAATGTTAAGCAGTCACAGCGCTATCTGCCTCTACTTCATGGCATGGACTACATTCTGATTTAACACTGAATTTTCATGATGGCTACCTGGTGTCTGCCTCCTCCATTGTATTTCATAAGCTCCATAAAGACAGTCTGCTTTCTCCTCACCAATGAATCCCTAGTGCTTAGCTAGCTTGCCAGAGTTGGCTCTCAAAATGTCTCTCAAAAGATGTAAAAAATTCTTGTTTTTGCATGTCTTTCCTAATGGTGTCTAAAAATTCTTTAAAGTGGCTTACCTTGTAAATCTTCCATCAATTCAAACATTCCAGGATAATTAACTTGAATTTCATCAGTGTCCTATTTTAAAAGAAAAAGAAATATTCATTTGGCATTCATCATTTAAAAAATCCAGAATTAAAGAGGGGTGACAGAGGTTAGGTGTGGTGATCACGCCTATAATTCCAGCATTCTGGGAGGCCAAGTTGAGAGGATTACTTGAGCTCAGAATTCGAGACTAGCCTGAGCAACATAGTGAGACTCATCTCTTCAGGACACCCAAAACTGTAGATCCTTACATATTCTGATTACATGTCCCATAAATGTTACTTAAAATGTGGCACCTAGCTGGGTGCAGTGGCTCAAGCCTGTAATCCCAACACTGTGGAAGGCCAAGGGGGATGATTGCTTGAGCTTAGAAATTCAAGAACAGTGAGACTTCATCTCTACAAAACAAAACAAAACAAAAATTAGTTGGGCATGGTGGAACACGTCTGTAGTATCAGCTACTCAGGAGGCTAAGGTGGAAGGACTGCCTAAGCCTAGGAAGTTGAGGCTACAGTGAGCCAGGATCGCGCCACTGTCTTCTACCCTGAGCAACAGAGTGAGATCCCAACTCAAAAAAAAGAAAAAGAAAAAAAAAATGGCACCCAGAATCAAGTCAGATATGGTCATCTACCAAGATATTTTCATTCTACTTCTAGTAATGCAGCTGACACTATCCTGGCTTATTTAGGAAATTAGCACATTGCTGGTACATGAAGAGTTTATTTCTCAAGTGAATTAATGGGCAATGACTCCCCCTTCCTTTTGAAGCTTGATGCAGGAGTTTACATGTTGGTTCAGTGGCAAAGACTACCAAATGCTCCCCAAATTTCCAGGTGCTCCTTGACACTTCCCAGTCTAAAACAGACATTTCTTCTGGCCAAAGAAAGGAGAAGCAAGGTGGTAAAGAGCTAGTAACCCTTTTCCAGACTCTCTTTTGCAAGGGTGACTTTAGAGGATGTAGGGCCAGAAGACACAACTACAACATGGCGGTGGGCTATCTAACCAGATGCAGCTGTGATGAGATACATTTTATTAGCTGGGCGCGGTGGCTCACATCTGTATCCCAGCACTTTGGAAGGCAGAGGTAAGAGGATTGCCTGAGTCCAGGGGTTCGAGACCAGCCTGGGTAACTTGGTGAGACCTCGTCTCTACGATAAATTAAAAACTTAGCCAGGCATGGTGGCGCACCTGTGGTTCCAGCTACTTGGAAGGCTGAGGTAGAAGGATAACCTGAGCCTAATAGGTCAAGGCTGTGGTGGCTGTGAGCATGCCATTGCACTCCAGCCTATGCAGTGTGACAGAGGGAGATTCTGACTCAAAAAAAAAAAAAAGAGAGATACATTTTTTGTTTTAAGCACTCAGATGTAGAAGTTTGCCTGTATTGGAAACTAGCCCTAAATAAATCTAAGTGTCATTAATAGAGGACTGATTAAATAAATTAATGAATGTCTATTTAATGAAATATTCTACAGCTGTTAAAAATTAATAAGATACCTATATGTCTGTAGGAGAAAATCTCCAAGATATGTTACTAACTGGAAAAAAAGCAAGAGTACATATAGAAAAAAAAAAACAAAAGAGTGTGTATATTACTGCTTTTGTGGTTTTAAATGACATATTTGTATTCTGTTCTATAAGAAAAAATTGCTCTGAAAGGATGTACCAGACATGAACGAATCTTTGGGGAGAGGGACAGGATGCCAGAAGTCAGGAGGAGGAGCCTTCACCTTAAACCTTGCTCTATCTCATTCTTTCTCCATATACATATTGTTCTGCTTTAAAAAAAATATGCCTGGGTCAGGTTACGTGTATGCTTTTTATTTACTTATTTATTTTTTTGAGTTGGAGTCTCACTCTGTCACCCAGACTGGAGTGCAGTGGCCTCTCCCAGTCACCGCAGCCTCGACCTGCTGGGCTCCGGCGATCCTTCCGCTTCAGTCTTCCAAGTAGCTGGAACTACAGGTGCGGCTAATTTTTTGATTTATTGTAGAGATGAGGTCTCGCCAAGTTGCCCAGGCGGGTCTCAAACCTGCGGGCTCAGGCAATTCATTCACCTCAGCCTCCCAAAGGCGCAGGATTACAGGCTGAGCCACCGAGCCCAGCTTGTGTATGCTTTTTAATAAGACTTCTTGGTAGTGTGACCATGACCATTTCAGCTATATACTTTCCTACATTAACAAGTTCTTTTTAAAAAGAGAATGAAACTAAGTAACAGCACTAGTTCCATCTCAATCAAAAGAATACTTCAATAGCTTTGTTAAAGGCCTTGTTCAAATGATGACGGACCATATCTGCAGCATTCTCTTAATGCTTAATGTACTAACTAGTCTGACAGTTCTCTTCTAAATGGAAATTAGCTTTATTCAGAATGCCAATTAACTCTGAAAATAATTCACTAAGAGGATTATATAAGTATAAATATAACTATATGATACTAATTTGACTTAACTTTAAAAATCCATTGCAGTGTAAAAGTAACATATCTTATGTATGCAGTATACACCTGTATACTTTATTATATAAAAGTTTTTTTAAATGGGACTCTTCAGAAAATGAATTAGGACACAATATTAATATAGCACTTCAGAAAGAACTGCATATATGCCTCAAAGGATAAATTTAATGATTCAAAAAACTATTCAAACTATTTTTGAACTTTATTCAAAAATAAATTATAGCTTTATTATTAAACCAACTCTAACTTTATAAATTATAAAGAAGATTCTATACCAATATTTTTGTATTATATTAAAGTCTGAGTCATTCAACTCATTTTTAGTAAAAGGTATTTTAAATTAGATTACCCAATTAACAGAAATGTAGGCTTTTGACTGCTTTATCATAGGGTTAAATATTTTTAGTAGAAACCTTTCTAAAATACATTAACTACTTTACAACCATAGAAAATCACATGTGGTTAACATAATTTAACTTTCTTTTGGTGACTCAAAATAGAATCCCATTTTTTTCCTGGTGGGCAACAACTTTTGAGTCCCCTAATATTGCTGACTAACCTTCATGACCTGGGTCAAATTCTCTGACATCACCCCATAAAAATGTGCACCACACCTCTCACATCACCCGGCCCCTAATATTTTCTCCTGTACTTTATAGAGATTTTACGTTTCCAGAGATTCTTTTTGCATCTCAGTAATAAGTCTGTAACATAACAATATGGGAGATGGTCTCAAGAGTGTAGACTGTAAAGAGGATTTTTTCCATGTTATAAGTAAAATAAATATTACAGACAAAAGCTTTAAACCAATGGTTCCTAATCTATTTTTGGTCATATCAGATCTCTCAAGATCCGATAAAAACCATGGGCACTTAGATTTTTGTCTGTTTTGCTCACTGCTATATTAAATGTATCTAGGATAGTTCCTGGCATATAGAAGGTACTCAATACATGCTTACTGCAAGACTGAACTAATAAATGAAACGGAATAGAAAGATATTTACTGCTGCATTATTCTTCTTGGCAAAAAAATCACAACAAGCTTATAGGTCGTTCATAGGGAAACAGTTAAGTAAAACCGAGGAATTTTCATTCTAGGAAGTAACAGGAGGTTTAAGAAGGAGGGCAAATATATCCATATTGACAGAAAAAAATGCTCTAAAATATACTGTTAAGAATGAAAAATGAAGTTTCAGAAACATACACATACACACACATGAGTATATATACAGTAAAGTAGTTTTTGTTTAAAAAAATAATCTGAAAGTTTACACACCACACTAAAAATATACTTAAAAATACAGCGAGGACAGGCTTGGTGGCTCAAGCCTGTAATCCCAGCACTTTGGGAGGCTGAGGTGAGAGGACTGCCTGAGTTCAGGGGTTCGAGACCAGCCTAGGCAACTTTTTGGGACCTCGTCTCTACAATAAATCAAAAAATTAGCCGGGTGTGGTAGCATGTGCCTGTAGTTCCAGCTACTTGGAAGGCTGAGGTGGAAGGATCACCTGAGTCCAGCAGGTCAAGGCTGTGGTGGCTGTAAGCATGCCACTGCACTCCAGTCTGGGCAACAGAGTAAGATTCTGACTCAAAAAAAAATAAAAATAAAAATTCAGTGATCCTTCAACACACAATTGGCCTGTATTAATAGTGTTTGTTTTCATTACCTAGCAGAGCACTCATGTGAAGCAGTTTTCCGATTTCCAGCTGTTCAACATCTCAGAATGTAGTTTCTAATGACTCAGGTCACTTAAAAGTTCACAAAAGGTCAGCCCTAGACAAGCTGTGAAGACTTCAGTGCTGTCTTCAGTTCTCAGCCTAGTTCTCCTGTGGGTTATTTCTCCCACTCCCTGGAGGCCCCTTTCCAACATCAGGGGCCCTGCTGGTCTATGCCCCTTGCTTTTTACCAAACAAGAAAGGATACAATCCTTTTGGCTGGCTGATTTGGTGAAACACATTCATACTAAATCACCTCAAACTGCTATTTTAATTTTAAGCCTATCTTCTCTAACCATGCATTGAAATATTTTCTTCACCAAGAAATTCCTATTTTCTCTAATCACATTTAGGGATGTTTCTAGGCCTGAAGGGTTTAGACACATACTAAGTCTACTCAGCTGATCTCTGAAGAGAGTAATGACATCCTTTAGAATAACTGTGATTGGAGAGAGGTGGAAGAGGGTGAGTTTCTCAGAAGCCCTGAAGACTGCTATGAGTAGAGGGATGGAAAAAGAAGGCAGAAGTTAATATTTACTGATTATCTACCATGGGCTAAGCACTTCATATTGGTTTTGTTTTTTTTAATACTATTGCCACCTGAGGTGAGTAAAACTTGTATTTTTAAAAGAAATGAATGCTCCAAAAGATGAAGTAAATTACCAAAATCCCCATCTCTAGTAAAGGGGTAGGATAAGGTCCAAGCTACTCCTATCAGGCCCCAATATCCTATTCCACCACTGTACTATGCTGACTTCATGGTTTCTGCATTGAATGCCTGTGGGCCTTCTTTTGAGATCTCCCTAATGGAGTACAGCATCCTGCCCCACCTTCACTAACCCTGATCTAACCCTAGGCTTTGAGAATACATTCTCTCATTTCTGCCTCATATGGCACTGCTTCAGTTGAGGGCTGTTGTTGGTGATAATATTACAAATGAAAGGCCTCTGTTTATCCTCTTTTTTCTATCATCTGGAACACTCTAAAGCCACTATTACACCTAAGTCTGGATTTAAAGATTCTAATCGAGCAGTATGTTTAGAAAATTGTCTTCTTGTTAATTAGGATACATTTTTTGAGCTACTTTTTCAGGTAACAAATACTGAAAATTCTACATTCCTACCTGGTGTCAATCAAGATATGTTTATACAAACTAAATATGGTCAGTGAGAGCTTTTTCCCTTAAAAAAGAAAAAAAGAGACAAAGTTCACAAAATCATGAACGCATACAGTTTTCTATCTTTAAAATGAAAGGAAGCTGTTTCTGAACTGTGTAGGTAATGAGTTACTTGATTCTCTCAATACTTACCACAGTCAGGGTATTAAAGCCAGCTCTCCCAAGAAGATGTCCTAGGTCACTGACAGCAATGAAAGGCGAAATGTGTGGAGAAAATCCTCCTTCCCTTTCCGTTTCTGCTAACTGTAAGGAACACCGAAGTTCATAAAGTGTGTCGCCTCCAAACATTGCACCAATAAATACTCCATCTGGTTTTAAAACATAATGAATCTGTAATAATTCAAACAAAAAAATCAAAATTTGACAAAGAAATGTCAAAAAAAGTCTAAATCAAAATTGTATGACTACCATTTTTATTTTGCCAAATAATCAGATAATTTAATAAACAACGCAACCAAATATCCGAAAGTCATTGCATTCAACGCAAGTCAACGCAACCAAATGTCCGATAGACCTATACATTCACTAATTAATACCTATAAAAATGTTGTATGTTTTCAAATTTTCTAGTAAACACAACTTGTTTTTATATCAGAAAAACACTGAAAGAAAAAAAATTAAGTGTGGTCAACTGCAAAAATCACAATCCTCCCTGTATCTGTGGCTCTTAAAATGTCATTTTCTAACAACTTTCATCAGATGAAATCTATTTCCCCTCTCCTTGAATCCTGGCCGGCCTTGTGACTTGCTTGGCCAAAATAATACAGTGGAAGTGAAAGTGTGCCAGTTTCAAGTTGAAGGCTCAAATGGTTTTGCAAGTGTCCACCTGCTCTCTTGGAGCCCTGCCTGGCCATATCATGAACAAGCCTGAGCTATCCTCGTGGAGGATGAGAGCTGTGGAGCAGCGACCAGCCAGCTGGGCCAGCTGGGTCATCCCAGACCAGTCAGCTCCCAGACAATCTGGCAACTGATCACAGACACATGGGTGAGCCAAGCCAGAACCAGAAGATTTCCTAACTGAATCTAGTCCCAAATGCCAACTCACAAAATCGTGAATTACGTAAATAGCTGTTGCTTTAAGCCACTACGTTGGGGTGGCTTGTTATGCTGAAAAAGTTCATCTGTAGAGAAATCATTATGATTCAGAGTATTAACCTAGTAACACATTAGTTTTCTTTAAGGAGAACTAATTTATTTCCAGCTTTAAAACAAAAACTTTTAATTAATAACAAGCAAAACAGTGGCCAGAGTGAATTCCAGGATCACAAATGTTGCTCACTGATTCTCTTAGACATTCTGTAACTAGCTCTGACTCCATTCTCAACAATGAGGACCATTACAGGAAAGAAAGAGTGGATTCTAAAGCAAATCAGAATACAAATCACAGCAGGCTCTCCTAATCAAAGCACTGTCTTAAGTTTATATTTACTACATTATGAGGCAATTAAAAGCGTACTACGTAAACCATCGGTAAAAGCTTTGGTTTTTTCCCTCCACCTTTTCAGTGTTACATCCTTCTCTTTTCACCAAACTCTACTACAACAAGTACCTATAAGACAGTCCTCAGCTCTCTACGGCCCCACTCACCCTCAGATGAGTGGGTGACTATTTGAAGGGAGACTATTATCAACTTCTGTGATTTCACAAGGATCACTTTCCACTCTCTATCTTCAGCTTGCCATCTTCCCAGAACTCTAAATTCATCTTTCCTTACCTATTCCCTGGACATTTTCCTCTTGGCATACTTACCACCTATGCATCTCCTACTCGACAAGGAGAACGCCTACTATCAGATCAATTCCCCTTTCCAATTGCCATGTTTCTATTAATTACTATTTCCTATTCCCTTTATCTGATCATTATCATTCTTTCCCCTACTTTTACTTATCCAGACCCAAAACTTTAAAGTGAGCTTTTACTTCTCCTTTTCACATCTAATCGGCCACCAAAATGCTGACTCTTTGCATTGTCTTAAATATCTCTCTTCCCTTTAATTCCTACCTAGGTTTTGTTTATCTCATGCCTGGAGCACTGTAAAAGTCTCCCTTCAATTAAGCAACTTCTCCAGGCATCTGTTTTCTAATCAGCAAAATAAATGTATTTTGCAGGGTTATTTAACACACATTAAACAGAGCACAGTAACTAGAAATAGTATGCGCTCAGATAAGGTGGTTATTATCCTGGTCACCAGTTTTTTAATGTTATTTTCCTCTTCAAAGTTCTCCAGTGGCTGTGATTTACATAAAGAATAATCTCCAAATTCCTTAACCCAACACCTAAGTCCTCTTAAATCTGATCTCTATACAGTATATCTCATCTCCCAGCACTATGCGAATCTCCCAAACAGGTTTCCTCTTTGTTCCTTCACACTGATGAGGCCCTTGTACCTCCCCACCTAACCTGAGATTCTGCCTTCCTGGAATGCCTTCCCTGTCCAAACCTCGTCTACCCTCTAAGGCCCTGTCCAAGTACCTCTTTCCTCTTGAAGTTTTTTTAGGCCACTCCAAGCCATAGTGATCTCTTTCCCTCCTTTGAACACATGCTTTTCATCTACTTCTGTTTACTCTTGTCAATCAACAAAAATTTATCTAGCACTGTCTAAGTAGAAGGCACAGGGAAGATACAAATATGTAAATAAGTAGGTTCCTACTCACAAAAAGTATACAAGCAATTAAGGGAAAGAGGGAATCCACACAGAAAATTTTGCAGTTACTAAGCTTTTCATAAATATTTAAAGCTCATCTCTATAATTGAGATTCTTAGATTCTCTAGGAGAGGAGAGTTACCCAGTGTACTTCTTAGTATGCCAAAAGGCACCAGGTACTCCTGGCCCATGGAAGATAATAAATACTTGATTTGATCAATTCTCCAATTGTTAGCTCTATAAGTAGTCTGTGAAAACAGAAACAACTATAAGCTTCTAATAATAAAGAAAATACACAGTATACTTGAATCAACATAAGTTTTCTTACCTGCTCAAGAGCTCTAGGAAGGTCATTCACCCAGTGCAAACTAAAATAAGAAAACACATATTTGTTTTAGCATAATTAGTAAATTAATAAGTATAATTATTACTAGTATAATGATAAGCCACAAAAGGTATTAACTTTGAAGCTTGAAGTCGTATATTAAAATTCATTGATTGGTCAGGTACAGTGGCTCATGCCTATAATCCCAACACTTTGGGAGGCCGAAGTGAGAGGATTGCCTGAATCCACGGGTTTGAGACCAGCCTGGGCAACCTGGTGAGACTTCATCTCTATGATAAATCAAAAAATTAGCCGGGAATGGTGGCAAGTGCCTGTAGTTCTAGATACTTGGAAGGCTGAGGTGGAAGGATCACCTGAGCCCAGTAGGTCGAGGCTGCGATGGCCATGAGGAGCCTACCACTGCACTCCAGCCTGGGCGACAGAGTGACTTCAAAAAACAAAAATTCACTGATTAGTCCTGCAAGTTTTAAAATAATAAATATTCCTAGAGGAAAATCTTCCTCTGTCACACTAGAAAATTCCCTGTGTCAATATATTACTTTGCTTAACTAAAAAGAAATCTGATACGGTTATGTCTAATTATTCCTCATCAGTGAAAAATGTAGAAGTCATTCCTACTTGGGCATTTCATCTAAATAGTGCTATTCTAAGACCTTATTTGCAGAAGGTAATAAAAATAAGCACCAGATAAAATGTTTAAAGAAACTCATCAATTAACTCAAACAATTAAGCTAGAGAAATATAGTATTATTCTAAGTCACACTTTTCCAGAAAAAAATAAAATTCATCTGCAGACCTAAAATTTTCCCTAGGAAAATAGTATTACTAATCAAAAGCTTAATTCAATTAGTTTTCTGATAAATAACTTCTCACATTTTTTCATTTTTAAGACTTTATTATTTTTTGAAGCAATTTTAGGTTCACAGCAAAATTGAGAAGCAGGTACAGAGATTTCCCACATACCCCTGTTCCCACACATGCACAGCCTCCCCGTTATCAACATCCCCTACCAGAGCGGCACATCTGTTACAACTGATGAAACATGTACACATCATTATCACCTGAAGTCCATAGTTTACATTAGGGTTCACTCTTGGTGCTGTATGTTCCATGGGTTTGAAAAAATGTATGTCATGTATCCCCCATTATAACAGTATCATACAGATTAGATTCACTGCCCTAAAAATCCTCTGTTCTCTGCCTATTCATCTCCCCACCCCCAACCACCAGGATCACTGATCTTTTTTACCATCTTTAGAATTTTGCTTTTTTCAGAATATTAAGACAGTTGGAATTGTATAGTATGTAGAATAGCTTCTTTCATTTATCAACTTGCTTTTAAGTTTCCTCCATATCTTTTCATGGCTTGACAGTTTATTTCTTTTTAGTGCTGAATAACATTCCATCATTTGGATATACACAGTTTACCCATTTGCCTATTGAAAGACATCTAGGTTGCTTCCAAGTTTTAACAATTATGAGTAAAGCTGCTCTAAATATTTGTGTGCAAGTCTTTGCGTGGACATAAGTTTCTATCCTCTGGACAAATACCAAGGAGTGTGATTGCTGGACAGTATGGTAAGAGTATGTTTAGTTTTCTAAGAAACTGCCAAACTACATTCCAAAGTCTCTGTACCATTCTTCACTCCCACCAACACTGAATGAGAGTTCCTCTTGCTACCTCCTTGCCAGCATTTGGTGTTGTCAGTGCTCTGAATTTTGACCACACTAATAGGTGTGTAATATAGCTGTTTTTTAAAGTGATTAAATAAAAAAGAGCTTGATACATTTAAACTTAATAACTTCTTGAATTTTCAATAGCAATTCCAAAATACTAAGTTGCATCAGGGGGAGGTGAGCTTTAGCAAATTGTGGAAAGTTGGAAAAAAAAGTGAGGTATTGCATTATATTATCTCCACCAGGGAGCAAAGAGTAATTCTTTACCAGAGCAATTTATAGTTTGCTTTTAATTTTTAAAAAAGTTATCTAGAATTTATTTCATTATCTATTTTATTTTCCTTGTAATGGTAAAACTTTATGGCATAAATTATCTATTTGTAACTATATATGTTTTTTTTAAAGTACAAATAGAGTACCAACCTTAAACTGCTAACCACCAGGTCAAATGTATTTTCTCTGAAGGGAAGGAATTCTTCATCTGCTAAAACACTGACAGTAGGAATTTCCGTTTCTAATGAATTTTTCTAATGGTAAAAAATAAAAGATCAAACACATTTATATGCAATATCAACTACTAACGCAATCCTTGTTTATTAAATTGAAGTCAATGTTATATTTATTTGGCAGTTTCTCCCCTGTCCCATCCTGCCCAAAAAAGAAGTGGCACAGAAAAGACACTCAAAAAACATTTCTTAAATGACACTTAAGATCAGCCAGAAAAAGTAGCTAACTAGTTGGAAAAACATAAACAGAATGCCCATCTCATACCAAGACAAATCTTGAAGGCTGAAAGTTTCAGCAAAATAATTAAAGTACTAGATGAAAATATGGGTGAACATTTTTATATTCTTAGATGAAAAAGCCTAATTAAACATGACTCAAAAGTCAGAAACTGTAATGGAAAAGACTGATATAGCAATAAACAATGTAAACAACTGGGAAAAATATGTGTAATACATATGATGAAGAATTAATATCCCTAAAAAACAAGCTCCTATAAATCATCTGAAGGCTAAGGCGGATGAAAGACAAAGTACAGGCATGTCATAAAATTACTTATAAAAATCACAAGTTCAGAAATACCAATAGTCAAAGACATCGAGAGCTGTTTGGCTATACTAGCAATTAAAGACATATAAGTAAAAATAACAATGATGAGGTTCTACTTTCTGTCTATCAGACTGACAAGGACAAAAAGCCTGGACCAGTGTTGCCAAAGTGAAAGATGGAAAAATATACCTTTATATAACACCATTGTTCAATCTCTTTTTTTTTTTTTTTTTGGTGAGTCAGAGTCTTACTCTGTCGCCCAGGCTAGAGTGCAATGGCGCAATCATAGCTCACTGCAGTCTCAGCCTCCTGGGCTCAGGTGCTTCTTTTTGCCTCAGCCTCCTGAGCAGCTGGGACTTCAGGAGCATGCCACCACACATGGTCGATATTTTGTAGAAACAGGGTCTTGTTACGTTGCCTAGGTTGGTCTCGAGTTCCTGGGCTCAAGAAATTCTCCTGTCTCAGCCTCCCAAAGTGTTGAGATTATAGATGTGATCCACTATGCCCAGCCTCAATCTTTCTAAGGGTAGCATGAAAACATACATCAAAAAATTATAAATGAATATCAGTAAACCCATAAATTCCACTGCCAGGAATACACATCCAGGGAAAAAAATAAATCAAACATATACAGTGGCTTCACACAAAGATATTCATCACAGAAACTAGAAATATAACTGCCCTTCAATAGAAATTTAACTAAGTAAGCCATGGACTATTCACCTATTGGAATACCACATAGCCATTTAAAAAGATGATACATACAAACATACATTTGTATGATATTCATTGACATAAAAGAATTATGTTCTGGGAAAACATGATACTGTTCATATAAAATTGTGGGGGGGGAATACCTAAATGTCCTGCAAATGTGGAAATCAAATGTCACCAGTGGTGGTTGCCTCTGAGTGGTAGGACTACGGAGGATTTTTTCTTTTGCCCTTGTATTTCATGTATTAATTTTTCTCAAGTGTGTTATACTAATAATTAGAAAATAAAATAAAACTATTTTCAGTTTGAAGGAAATAACAACAAAGAAATAAAGAATAATCAAATCAGGAGATTAGAAATCAATAGCATTAAAAAATACCCACCAAAGCATTTTCTGCAATGTCAGCTTGGAAAAACTTTCCAATAGTTTCCTGCAATGAAATAATTAAAGCTGATCAGATAATACAAAAACAAGCAGATAAATAAACCTAGTAACAAATAAAACAATTGTTGACATTTCTAAAGGAGAAAGTATTAATTACAGCTTAATTTTCAGCTTAATTTTCAGCTTTCTATATAACAGTATGGTACATAAATACTTTAATAACATACATTAAGTTACAGATTCAAATACATGCAGCTAACCCTTTATTTGATATATTTAATTATATTTAAAATAATAAGAGAACACAGGTGTGAATAATCAACAAATGTCCTCCACTGGGTTGGACTTCTGTGCTAATCTTTCCATGGCAAAACATGCTGAGAGCTAGTTTTCCCACTCTTGTGCCACAGAGGACTTGAAATGGGCTTCCTGTCTTTTATTTGTTCATTAAAAATGTTTACACATTGAAATGATATCAAGCATCTTCTCACACCACAGAAGAAAAACAAAGAAAAGTGTTTACAGAGAGTAAAGACAGACTTATACACACACGAGACTTGGGGGCAGGGCTTAAGTGACTGCACTGCATTTTCCCTGTTTCATCTACTCTCTCTTCCTTCCAAGAGGAAAGGGGACTCTTGCTATTTCTGTCCAGGAAAGCACTCCCCTTAGCTCTCTTTTCTTCAGGATTCTGCTCCCTCCATCAGTCTTCAATTTGTCTTCTCTCTCTTTCCCTTACCATACAACAGGCATACACTCCCAATTTTGAAAAATCTCCTCACCTCTAAGTACCTTGTAGTTGTTTGGTGTGTAATCCACATCTCTACTTCTTTTAAAGTCTTTCTGCTCTACTTGGTAATCTATCTTCTCTTTCGCTGCTCTCCTAACACTGCCTCTGAAGATCACAGGCAGCATAACCACCACCTAGAGCAATCTGTCTTGCTGCTCTCAGTCCTACTTCACCTGACCTCGGAAGTATAGCACTGGTGACAATCTCCTGAAACCTTCTCTGGTACATTCCATTCTGCCTCCCCTCCTCTACCAGAGCAGCCAATCTTTTTTACCTCACCCACATTGGCTTCTAAAGAACTTCCCTGCCACAACTTGGAAAGAATACACCTTACCACAAAACCCTACTGTTACCTGGTCACCACTAACTAACTCAGGGCAGCTGGTGTTCAGGTTCTCAAAGAAAAAGAAAAGTGCCTCGAGTTGTACTGTTTGCTGATTTCCATGTTGTAACTACTCTGACGATGGTGAATTTCAGGTTGCCAGGATGATATTGCTAAGTGAAGAGCTGCAAAGAGATGTGCTCACTTGGTTCTCACAAGCCAGCTCCAACATACCCATGTGAAGGATGAAGAATTAGACCAGTCCAACTATGGGTCCCTATCTCTCACTTGAAAATCTAATGAGACTTAGAGATGGGGCAGAGGTCCCTGGAATTGGAGGGGCATGGAGACTTCAGGGTGTGGGCAGTGGTGTGCTGGTAACTAACAACTGGCTCTTGGTGGGACTGCTTTGTAGCATTTGTCAACTTCAATGGTATAAATACTCCCACTAGGGCTGATTCAAGCTAGTAACACAATGTCACAGAACACAGAGCTGGGAAGAGATGCTAACACTAAGCTCTTGTGAGCTGTTATAAGCTAGATTCAGCTCACCACTGGGTGGAGGGTATTCATATTGGGGGTCACACACACTGATGAACACTAGGGAATCTACACAGAGAAAAATGAATGAAGGCAACCATGCGGTATCCATATGATACTAGAGAGCACGTGAACAAGGGGGACTTTGTTCTGATGTTTCAAAGCCCCCATCCCTTGTGAGGCCTGGCTCTTCTTCCAGACCCCTGAGTTGCATAGGAGCCTCTATGCAACAAATGTTCCTCTATTTAAACAGGCTTCAGTGAATTTATGCTTCTTGTAATCAAAAGATACCTTACTAAGACACTGTCCATTTACTATTCCTGCCATCTTTGTTGGCGCCTCCTCATTTTCCCATCCCTAAGTAAAGCTATGGAAGGTTCTTTTCTATATTTTTTCCCCAGAGAGCTCACCTGTTTCTATGGCTTCAGTTGTCATCTCTGAAAGGGACTTCTAAACAAGAATAATAGCCACACCTTTGCCAGACTTACCCCCACTTAATCCTCTTACGAACCTTTTAAAGTATTGCTGATAACATCATACAGACACTGAGGTCGGGGGGACTGAATAACTAGTCCAAGTGTACACAGACAGCAAGGGGCAGAGCTGAATATTGAACCCCTATCCGACTTCAAGTCAATGCTCTTAACCTCAATATCCCAATCCCAGTTCCACATTTCCAACTACCTACCAGATATAAACACCAATATATTCCTGTCACCTCGAATTCAACATATCTGAAATAGGAATAATCTCTTGTTCCTTGCCCCACCACATCTCATGACTTTTTCCAGTCACTAAAGGTATAACTTATTTTGCATTCATTCATGCATCAGTCATTTAGTAAATCTTCATTCTGTGTTCTAGGTATTGGGGATTAGTAATGAACAAAAATGAGCAAGTCCAATAAGAGAAGACAGACACCAAATAAACAAACATGCACCAGAGGCTAATAAGTGCTATGGAAACAAAGCAACCAGCCAGTGGAGAGCAGGGGCACTATTTTCTATAGTCAAGGGAGGGATCTTTGATGAGAGTTGTTTGAGCAAAGACCTGACAGAGGTGAGGAAGCAAGCCACACAGATATCTTGGGGAACAGCATAGAAAACAAGTGCAATGCCAAGCCCTGGCCTGTTTGAGAGACTGCAAAGTACGCTGAAAAGTAGGAAGAGGAAGAAGGTCAGAGTTGCAATTATCCAAATCACTGAGGCCTTATGGATTGGGACTCTGGCTCACTACTAAATTAGATGAGAAGCCAACAGTTCTGAGCAAAGGACTGATTTCATTTGTGTTTTAATTACTTTACCATGAGAACAGACTGGCAGGGGCAAAGGTAGAAGCCTGGAGACCAACCACTTGGAGGCTTCTGCAATAATCTGGGCAAGAGGTGATGATAGCTGGACAATGGTACTGGTGAAGGTGGTAAGAAGTGGTAGAGTTATGAATATATTTTGAAACCCAAATAAGTTGCTGATGGATTCAATTTGGGAGGAAAGGACACAAGAGGATTCAATGAATATGGTTTTTGGCCTGAGCAACTAAAAGAATGAAATTTTGTCCTGCCCACCACATCTGATCAGTCACTAAGTTCTGTGGATTCTATGAGGTCTCCCTTATATATCCCATCACTGATCTGCTGCCTCTCCATGGGTGACAGGCCTTCATTTCTCATGCCTGCACTGCATTTGCCACAGCCTCCTAATCAGTCTGCTTCTCTGTCCTCTCTCTTCTTCAATCCTTCCTGCATACCATCTCCCAATTAATCTTCCTTAAACGTCCCACTCTATTGCATCCTGCAGCATTCGACCTCTGTATCCTTCCTCTTGGCATGCCCTGACTTCCAACGAATTGAATCATCAGCCCAAATTCTTTAAAATCTCAGGTCAGATTCTGTCCCTTTCAAAGTCTTGACCACATGAACCCTTGATTTTCCTTAACTCCTGTTACACTTTAATGACTCTATCACCTCTGTGGCATTTACTATTATCAGTAATAGTGTTTTAGGATCCTCACTCCTCCTTGCCCAAGTGTATATTTTTATTTAAGTAGATTTTACATAGAAATCCTACTCTAATCTTTGTGTCCAGCACAGTGTCCTATACATACGAGCTAAAGGAACAAACAAATATCTTCATAGTCTGATCTAGAAAACACAAAATAAAATGATATGAGTATTAATAAACGTTACTTATATTTAATCACATAGAAAGATGTCTAACCAGCTGATGAAATTAATTTTTTCTAGCTAAAAACTCAGCTTGATTACATTTTCTGTATCTGTCAATCTGATTTTTAATGTGAATTCATTTGAATACAGTGGGAACAAAGAGAAATATCTTATGTAGATTTAAATAAATTATCAGTAGAAACACTGAATAAAATGAATTTAGAGGAAAAATTCTTTAAGAAAAAAAGACAGGAGAGAAGAAAACCACCATTGGTTCTACCACTATAAAAAAAAAACAACAAATTTGTTAATACAAATTTTCTAATACAATAAAATCTAGATATGATACAAAATAAATTAATTAGAACAGTCTTTCTTTAAAATTAGCCTATTTCATTTTTTAAGTAAATTAAATCATCAAATAAATATACCTTATTCAAGTGTTGTGCTATGTAACCTCTTCCACAGCCAAGATCCAAAGCAAGAGGGAAATCTCTAAAAAACAGACACAGAAGTTATAATACAGTCCATAAATTGAGAACTAATTTTTCTTAAATAAGAACATTTTAGTAAATACAACTTTCAGAAAGTTACATTATCTGCCTTTTTTGTCTTACTTTACAAACTATATATACCAGACTATGCTGTGTACAGCAAGACTGTCTGATATAGCCATTCATAGGACCTCATAACAAACCAGCTTTCCACAAATTCATGACTGGATTTGAAAAACAGATTTAATGAGGGTATTTTAATTCAATAATACCTCCAGATAATGAATAAAAAGAAGTTATTATAAAGTAAATGAAAATAACTGACATACTTATCAAGGACTTGGTAATTATCCCAATTTTTCAAAATTGTTGAAGCAGCAGAACCCTTAGAAATTACCGTGTGAAACTTCATGAAGTAATAATATGTAAAACTTAAAAAAAAAACCAACTAAATAATAGCTAATTTTACTGAAAACTTACCAGGTTTAAAGTATTGTGCTGTCAACCCAACCAAGTACTTCAACTAACAAGCAGCAGTCAACACTTGAATTCAGTCTGTCTGAATCCTGAACCAGAACTACTGTCTTCCACACTATACTGTGTCCTCTAAACATATCATGTTATACTAAATTGGTACAGACATCCAATTGCAGGCCACAGGTTTCAGAAAAATTTATGACACCAAAACTTAAAATTTTATCTATTAATAACGTTTTTTGCTGAACAACTAGAACAAAGAGTCCCTTTTCAGTTTCTGTTAAAAACCTATGTCAAAATTATACAATACCAGCACACAGTTGGAGAACCCCTGGTAACAGATAACCTTGTTTGCCTAACACCCTATATCTTGATGATGAACACAGGCAATGTGGCATAGTTAATTATAAGGGCTTTGGAATTAGAAGGATATAGATCAGAATTCTGGGCAATTTACAGCCCTGTGACCACAGGCAAGTGATTTAACCTTTTTGGATTTTGTTTCCCCAGCTATAAAAATGGAAAAGTTACTGCCTCCCTTAGAGTCAGTGTGAGAATTATATGAAATAGTACATATATTTAGCACAGTGTAAATATTCAACAAATTAGCTGTTAGTTATTATTATCACTCATTATAACAGTATTAGGTGAGCCTCGGATCCCACAAATAAGACATTTAATAATGTGTGTGGTTAGTTTTTAGAAACAACAAAAGATCAGTGTTGACAAACTACTCTTTCTAATAACAGAATATTAATGCAAGGATATTTAGGCTAGTATTTTAATAATTTAATTCCAGCTAATGTTAGTTGAAGACATGCTTTTAACCATAATCCTAGGTCTTGTTACAAATTTGACTGTGCTTTGTTCAGTGCTATGACATAAAAAGATTATAAAATCCAAACTGATTTGCAAAATTCAATATTTCATCTATTAAATCAAAATGGCTAACAATCTAGGAGAATTATTATAGTAGCTATTCTTCAGATATTTAAAATAATGAAACTAATGAAACAAATAAAATGTGGTACCTATTTTCAACAATGAAACTTTTTTATACTGTACAAAATTAATTCATCCCAAGATCCTTTTAAGTAGCAAAGCTAGATAAAAAATATGACTGAGTCTGTGATTTCATGAAATTCCCTTTTATAAAAAATGCAGTAAACGCATCTCATCTTGGTCTATTTTTAATGGATGTATTTTATACAAAAGAACATAAAACAAGAGCAACAAATTACTCTGCTAATATCACAGAGTAATTCTACTGCAAAACCAATGTTTGACTGGGGTTCCCACCACAAGGCTGTAAACCTCAAATTCTATTAAGCTTTCATTATGCCTAATATAGAGAGAAATGAATCCATCAAGATTTCAATAATACTTGATAAAACGACCAAAGTCTCATAAATTCTGTTTAGAAAACAAAACTAGGTAGATACTCTCTTTCACTTTAATGGTAAAAGATTCTATGATCAATTTTAGTTAAACTTTGAAATTTAGGTTTAGTAAATCTTAAAAATTCACATGTAGTCAATTCTTTATGTCCATTTTTGGGGCAATCTTTCTATTGCTGATTTTTGGCCAAATCAAGTAGATTAGTCATTCAGGCTTGGAGACAGCTGAAAGTGGGGCTTCCATACATTCTTTTTATTTTTTATTTTTTAAAGCAACAAAGAGAAAAGAACATTTGCTCTCCCAGACAAGAAAAAGAAGGAGAGATCTATAAAGTGATTCAAACACCAATCTGATAATAAAGTCCTCCAGATTCTGCCAATCCAGATATCAAATTTTCAGCATATAATCTGAGCTTCCACTCAAAAGTTGATTGTATTTTATTATGATAACCATCACTTACCTGGCTATGTCATATACACGGTCCGCGATCCTACTTCCAACCTGAAGGATTATAAGAGACAATGTTGCACACAAGTTGAGTAGGTTAACAGAGAAGTAACACTTTTTTTACAATATTCAAAAATCCATAGGTTAGTTATGTTTCAACATGATAAGTACAGACACATAATTGTCCACAAAGGTATTAGCATAAGTTATATTAAAGAGAAAAATTATTTAGTTAGCTGGAGTTTTTTACAGATCAATGTATAAGCAGTCATTTACTAAGAACTCTATTATTTATGACTACTACCAAATTTTATGGAACTCCTAAATGAATTAACTTTTCTGAGTGACATTCGCAAATTAGAAAAAGTCAAATCTGGCTGGGTACAGTGGCTCATGCCCATAATCCCAATACTTTGGGAGCCTGAGGCAAGAGGACTGCTTGAACCCAGGAATTTGAAACCAGTTTGGGCAACACAGCAAGACTTTGTCTCTACAAAAACTAAAAAAAAAAAAAAAAAGCCAGGCATGGCATACCTGTAGTCCTAGCTACCTGGGAGGCTAAGGTGGGAGGATCGCTTGAGCCCAGGAGTTATAGGCTGTGGTGAGCTGTGGTGAGCTGTGGATCATGCCACTGCACTCCAGCCTGGGCGACTGAGACCTTGACTCAAAGAAACAAAGACCAAAAAATAAAAAAATAAAAATAAATTAAATAAATTTTTAAAAACCAGAAAAAGCAAATCTGAAGCAATCTCATCCCAATTTAAAAGAAGTCAAGCTGGGCTCGGTGTCTCAGCCTGTAATCCTGCGCTTTGAGAGGCTGAGGTGAGTGTATTGCCTGAGCCCGCGGGTTCGAGACCTGCCTGGGCAACTTGGAGAGACCTCATCTCTACAATAAATCAAAAAATTAGCTGGGCGTGGTAGCGCGTGCCTGTAGTTCCAGCTACTTGGAAGGCTGAGATGGAAGGATCACCAGAGCCCAGCAGTTCAGAATAAGACTCCACCTCAAAAATAAATAAATAAAAATAAAAGAAGTCATAAAGTAGGTACCACCTTTTGCTGGGCTAGCTTCATCTGGCAGGAAAAAAGAAATGGGAGTCTGATATTGCCCACATTTCACTCATTCCTTCATAAACACCCCAAAGTTGTTATTAGAACCTGAAATTCCATACACAGATTATTTGCTTTGGGGGGAGAGAAGCAAAGGAGGAGGTAGGCAGAAGTCTTTACCCAGAGGAGTCCACTTTGTACATTATTCCTAATATGAACATCTTTTATTATAAAAAGAACTCTCGTATATTTTATCTCATATTCTAGCCCTGCAGATTGGTAAAGCCACCATTAAGGTGTAACCCAGTGCTTTTCTTGGAGGAAAAAGGGCTAGGAGGGCACATCTTCTAAGAACATGGCATCATGGACCTTTCAGGAGGAAACCAGCATGTGGTATAAGCATCGTGCCTTACAAAGGGGACACATACAATGTATTGACAGTTGACTTTCTATCTCCATAACAGACATCACCAACTTTTGAGCAGTTTTCTCATACGAGAACAGACACTGTCAATCATCTGATTCCCTGTGCTCACACAGAACTCTGCTCAAAGTAGGAGCTCAATACATGCCTGTTGCTTTATGCTTGACTCCAGTTTAGCTCCACTCCTGAGGAAACATTTACTGAGGCCTGAGTTCGGTGCTGTGTGTCCTGAAAGTAGAAACCCTCAGTCCTTAGTCCACCTGGGCAGAGAGGAAGAGGTCTCTCAAACTAGCAAAGACAATTCAGAGACCTTAATTTGATCTTCTTAAAACATAAATCATATCATATTGTTCCACTGGTTAAAATAAGAACCTCACATTCCTCTAGAGGAATATTATTCAAAAATAATGAGAGCCGAGTGTGTAATTTCAAATTTTCTAGGAGCCATATAAGGAAAAAGAAACAAGAGAAACTAATTTTATTGTTATATGTAACACAATATATTAAAAATATACTTCAACACGTAATTAATATAAAAACTATTTTTTCTTTTTTTGTTTTTTGTCTTTATTATTTTTTTCCAATATAAAAACATAAAGGGTGAAGTCAAAAATGACTGACTTAGCTAGAGAACAGCCATTTTAACATTGCTAAAGCTTTGTTATACTTTGTTGGCTGTTGGTTCTATTTCCCACGTCCTAATCATTAGCCAAGGACAGAATCAGCTTCCCGGAGGTAGTTACTGATTATTGTTTTGCATCTGCAAGTATGTCTTACGTGGATCACTACTCTATCTAGGCCTTTGTTTCCCAGCTATACAGGATCAAGTGGACCTAACTGTAATCAGCCTTTTGTGATTGCCCACCAGCCCACCACAGGTTGAAGGCCCTGGAATCACAGGACTGGTTTCCCTGACCACACCTAGAAGGCAAGATTCCAGTTATCAATACTCAGGAATGCAGCTGCTGAAGAACTTTTTTTACTCTGTGTCCTTGATTAAAACTTTAAAAGCCCTCCTTCCTTAAATTCCCTTGCCGCGGCCCTGCCTCTCAGTGCTGGTGCCATTTAGAGTCTGTTCTAAATGTAAATAAACTCTTTTGCTTTCTTTTGCAATTCTTTTGCTTTATTTCTGCAGCACTGGCCCACACTGCCTCAGTTTACCCTAACACAAACTATTCATGAGATACTTTACGGATGTAAAATTAGTACTTTTTCATACCAAGTCATTGAAATCCAGTGTGTATTTCACATTTACAACACACCTCAATCGAACTAGCTACACTTCAAGTGCTCAACAGCCACACGTGGTCGGCAGTTACCATATTGGACAGACAGTGCAGAGAGAGAAGAAAGGCCAAAGTCTCTGCCCTGGAGGGCACTGATGATGTGGGCCCTCCTGACCTCTTCTCTCTCTCAGAAGTTTCACTGGAGGCCTCCACAAGGTCCTCCCCTTTGCCTACGAGGCCTTCCCCGCCAGCCCCGCCCCCCCATCTCAATCATGCTGTCTTCCCTGACCATTGTCACAATTCTGCTTCACTTTATTTCTCTCACCTTACTTCTTTAGCTGAAATTTCCCTTCTATCTACTGTCTGTCTCGCCCCCTCCTCCCCCTGCCCCCAAAATGAAAGTCCACGAGGGCAGAGGTCTTGCTGAGCCCAGATCAGTTTTTTAATTAATTATTTTATTTTAAAGATGTGGGGTACAATTCAGATACAGGTATACAAGTGGTCATGGTACAGGTCAAGTTTGGGCCTCTCTCTGGCCCCCACCTCACCTGGTTTGAGATCAGGTACCCTTATTGATATTATCCTAGTTTTAATTCAAACCATCTTTGCAGAGTGAGGGAATGAATGAAAAGCACATTACGAATATCCGAGCCCGGCCCTTCCGTGATTACAGAAGAGGCAGGGCTGCGGGTGAAGGTCAGACGGCGAGGTGACATGGGTCGAGGCCCGGCCTGAGCTCCGGGACCGCAGACAAGCCTCGGGGTCGCCCAACCCCCTCTCCGCCGCCCGCGGCCTCACCTCCTCCTTCAGGTAGTCAAATTTCATCGGCTCTGGCTGCCGGGCCGCCCAGTTCTTCTGTTTCCTTTTCAGATCCCGGTCGAAGATGTTTAGGGCTCTGGGCGAGGTGCCGCCGCGGGGAGGGACAGCAGAGGCGACCTTCCTACGGCCAAGGTTCTCCGTAGAGACCCCCGCCGTCCGAGGTCGCAGGCACAGGCGCCAGAGCCCAGCCGGCCGCAGCATCCCCAGCAGTGACGCCACTTGCCGGGGCTTTCTGCCGTGCGCCTGCTGCGCTAATGCGGCTTCGGCGACTACTGTAGAGAGCTTCGCAGAGAGAACGCAAGTATTTTGGCCCAGTTCGCTTGCTATTACGGCGGAACGTGGCGCGGAGCATTGTGGGTGTGGGTGCCATGCGAGGCTGGGAGAAGGATTCCGGACGGTGAGTTGGGCAGAGCTCGAGTGGAAGGGCTCTCGAAGGTACGTACCTAGTCTGTGACAGGGTCTCCTTTGGATTCGTGAGGGGTGCGCCTCTTCCTCCTTACCTTTCCAGCCTCGTTCTTCAGACTTCATCGATCTTCAGGGTCTCTTCTCGAGGGAACTTAGCCCAATAGCTGCCCCCCGAGGTTCAGGAGGTGGGAAGGAGACCCTCGTTCTGGGGCTACTGGTATTCCCCGTGTTAAAAGGAGTGTGTGGAAGGGGAGTGGACCACGGGAGTGAAGCCGTGTGTCAGATATGAGATCAGGTCGCATTCCCCTCTCCTGGAATACCTGACGTTTATCGAGATCTGACGTTCTAAACGGTTGCAATAATGCGTTACCTCTTTTGAGTTGATTGAGGTGGTACATGCTTTGTAAGGTTGTTCGGGGAGTTAAATGTTGCAATACGCCTAAAAGTGTAGAAATGCATCAGTGAAACCTTTTATTTTTTTCTGATTAGTGTATGAAAAGTTGTTTTCGAGTTTAGAGAAGAATACAGCTTTGTAACCAAGCCTTGTTTTTCAACGAAAAAAAATGGTGCCCTTTTTTATTTTTTATTTTTTATTTTTTGAGTTGGAGTCTCACTCTGTCGCCCAGACTGGAGTGCAGTGGCCGTTCGACCTGCTGGGCTCCGGCGATCCTTCCGCCTCAGCCTTCCGAGTAGCCGGAAACACAGGCGCACGCTACCACGCCCGGCTAATTTTTTAAAAAAATTGATTGTAGAGATGAGATCTCGCATGCCCAGGCGGGTCTCGAACCGGCGGGCTCAGGCAATCCACTCACCTCAGCCTCCCAAAGGCGTGGGATTACAGGCTGAGTCACCGAGCCCAGCAATGGTGCCCTTTTTTATCAGTCCATTTTTTTTCTTTCCTTCTTCCTTCCTTCTTCTTTCCTTCTTCCTTCCTTCTCTCTCCCTCCCTCCCTCCCACTAATCACTGTCTTTTGAGTCTACGAAAATCATATCCGGAGGTGCTAAACTGTTAGGGACTATTTATAAAGGATCAATGCTAATTTAGACACACGTATGTGTGTATTCTAGTATGTTGGAGAGGGGGGATTAGCTCTTCTAAGCCTTAGTCACTTTTTAAATAAGAAAGTATAGGAAGAAGTAGTTGGAATGAGACTTATTAGCTGGAATGAGACTTTGCCTGGAGACTTGACTACCTTTGAAGGATGGTCGGATTGAAAGGGAGAAATTTGTGAGCTAAACCTGAACTTACTTTGATCTGTTTAATTAGGAAATTAGCCTTGTGGAACTAAAGGCTATTGGGAGTAGCAGGAAGTAAAGATTAATCGAATGGGACCAGAATATGAAAAAACAAATGACCAGTTTAGACTAGGATATCTTTACATTACATTACATTAATTACATTAGCTATTTTACTTAACACATACAGACATACAGATAGGAATATGGAAGTTCTAAGTGAGTGCAATGGACTAATAAACATTTGTTTCTCTCCATTAAGCCCTGGGCATCTGCTTGGTTTACCTTAAATTTATTTCTCCAGATGATTTGTAATGGAAAGAGGATATTGTATAAGTTTTTGCTTTTCAGCATGTGGTGACCCACAATAAATTGGGGAGACTAAATTAGGGAAGTCACCTTTATTTTAAGTACATCCAACTTAGAATATATTGTGAATTTATGTGTTTTTTCTTTTTTTTTTTAACGCTTTTCTTCCAGGGATGTTTAAAAACACTTAATTATATTACTAATCCTTCATTATTTTATCTGTTTTATTTTTTAGTATTTGGTTTCTTCAAGCACTTGTTCAGTAAAACGTTTAAAAATGTCATCCAAACAAGAAATAATGAGTGATCAACGGTTTAGACGGGTTGCAAAGGACCCAAGATTTTGGGAAATGCCAGAAAAGGATCGAAAAGTCAAAATTGACAAGAGATTTCGGGCCATGTTTCATGATAAAAAGTTCAAGTTGAGCTATGCTGTGGATAAAAGAGGGCGACCCATCAACCATAGTACTACAGAGGATTTGAAACGTTTTTATGAACTTTCAGATTCTGATTCCGATCTCTCTGATGAAGATAGCAAAACACTGGATCAAAAGAAAATAAAGAAGAGAAAACTCCAGACTAAAAAAGAAAAAGATTCCAAAAATCCGGTTGAGGAGAAAAAGAAATTAACCAAGGAAGTTAATCAAAAGAATTCTGAAAATAAAAATGATTTAGATAATTCTGAAAGAATTCAGAAGGTGAAAAATTCATGTAAATCTAAGATAGATTCAAACATAAGTCTGAAGAAAGAGAGCAAAGAATGTATACAGAAAAGAACAAAAGAGAAAAATGTTGTTCAACATAGAACGGACTCTTTTCCCAAAGAAAAACTAAGGACATTAGATTCAGGCCCCTCTGAAGTTGTGAACTCTCCCAAGATCAAGTGTTCTAACACAAGAAGAGAAATACAGTCAGGTTGGTTGGAAAGAATTAGAGGTTCTTTGGTGGTGTGTTATTTTTATGCTAATCTTTTAAAAACGTAAATATATTAGTATTTTCATGGTATGGAATGGTCAAGTGCCTCTTTGGAAATACGAAGCAATGAAAGGACTGAGTATTAGTGGTACTAAAAGACAGGCATGAAAATTTGAATCTTGACGTTAAATGATGATTTTGATTTGTGGTAGGCACTAGTAAGAGGTATATTCTCTAACCAGATAAATTGTTTTTGTTGTTGTTGTTATTACATGATAAGGAGAAATGTGTCTAAAGAAGTTAAGTAGAGTTGGATATGCATTCGTTAATTCATTCAACTACTTAGTAACTAATATGGCAGATAGAGCATGAGTAAGGCATGGTCCACCTTCTCAGGGCTATTGCTAGCTTATATGGTACCTTTGTGCAAATTTGAAAAGACGTGCTCTCTGGACTTACAGAGGTCCCAGGGCTTGCAGTTTGGTGAGGAGATAGCACCTTTGAGTGAAGCAACAGATTCTTTGCCCCTGAGCGGACACAGCCCCTGGTTTTTTTTTAAAAAAAAGAAAAAAAGGAAACAATTTTCATGATATATTTTGTTTAACACAGTCAAAAATTTATTTTGGTATGTAATCTATATTTTAATTCTGTTTTCATACTAATCTCAAATTGGACAAGCCATATTTCAAGTGCTCAATTGCCACTTGTGGCTACTGGTTGCCATCTTGGACAGCATAGATCTAAAGTGAAAAAATTAGAAACATAACACAAAATAGAACAGGAATAAGTGCCATAAAAGATGTTTAGTGGAGGACTATGGACATTCAGAGGAAGAGGTCACTCAAGATGTGGTATTCAGAGAAAAATTCATAGGGGATATGCCTTTTTGATTGAGATTTGGAAAAAGTTAACCTTGAGGACCACAGTGTTCTACATGGAAAGAACTTTTTGAGCAAAGATTGATTGGGCATGTTCAGAAGAGATCTGTAGTCACATTTGATTAGAAAATAAGGTCTTGAAGGGATGAAATGAGTAATAGGGTAGAGATGGTTGTTTGGAACTAGGTAAGAAACAGCTGGCTGTAGTTTGTATTACGTGTTTGCTAAACTTACTAAAATTTTGTATCACCTCTGGCAGCAAGAAATTATAAGTGTTGATGTTGCTGATATGAAATTGTAAAACTGAAAATTGCTGGTGGTTCAGATGATCCAGACCTGTGATTATAGAACCAGAGGAGAAGCCGGGCTCGGTGGCTCAGCCTGTAATCCCGTGCCCTTGGGAGGCTGAGGTGAGTGGATTGCCTGAGCCCGCGGGTTCGAGACCCACCTGGGCAACTTGGTGAGACCTCATCTCTACAATAAATCAAAAAATTAGCCGGGTGTGGTAGCGCGCGCCTGTGTTTCCAGCTACTTAGAAGGCTGAGGCGGAAGGATTGCTGGAGCCCAGCAGGTTGAGGCTGCAGTGGCCAGGAGCGTGCCACTGCCCTCCAGCCTGGGCGACAGAGTGAGACTCCAACTCAGAAAAAAACAAAAACAAAAAACAAACAAACAACAACAACAACAACAAAAGAACCAGAGGAGAGCAGATATATCAGGAAAAGGCAGAGAGGTATTGACAGGCAGAGATCACATTGGAAAGATAGGAAGTATTAGGAGTGAGCTTAAGTCCAGATAGCAGGAAATAGGGAGTCAGTGGTGAGATCTCATTCCATTTGTAGTGAAACCAGGCAGCAAACCTCATGAGGTACTGGAAGGAACAGGAAGCAGGTTACTGAAATTGAAGAGTAAGATTGGAATGGGACCAGCAGCAAAGTTGATTTGATGTTTAGTTTGTGAGGTAAGTTAATCTAGCATCTTTTTAATTCCACTTGATTTAGGGTGCTGGATTAATATTAACAGCTTTATAATCCTTTGGATTGATTTTACAAAATCTGTTTGTGTATCTTTTCTCTTTTAATATTTTCTCACTAACCTGGAGAAATGAAGATATATCAGGAAACAAAGTTAAAGTGTCTTATGTAAGGACACACAAGTCTTGGGACTTGGAGCTTGGGACTACAACTCAAGTCTTCTGATTCTTTCTACTCCACCATGTTGCTTGCAGTAATTTATGTTGGTTCCATAGCCTAGAAAAGGTATGATTTTAAGTAGAGATTAAGCAACTCCATATATAACCATCTTTTGTTCATTATTAATTCATCAGTCATCATTCCAGCAACTACTGTGTACAAGAGACTTTCTAAGTGCTCAAAGGTAAAGTTGATGTAAGGAGTTGCAGTTTGATATTTGTCGTTGTAAAATGTTTGCGTTTAGCACTTAGATTGCTAAACATCTAAGTAAATAATTGGAAATGTGTACAAAGAACGTGCATTATGGCATTATTCTTAACAATTTTAAGAATGGTAAATTAAAATAATCAAGGAATTAATTATATTCTATCCAAACATCTATAATATATAGAGTTTTTAAGATAGGCTACAAAATAACATAAGTGATATGACTGCCTACTTAAAACAAATTAAAAGAACCAGAGGAGAGCAGATATATGTTAACTATATGTTATATAGTTAAATGATAGCAAATAAGTTTAGGGGGTTATGTACCAAGATAACCCTTCAGTTATATTTGAATGAAAAATTACTTGTCATCTTTATTTTTTCATTAACCATTTTGTCCTAATTTTTTTTTCTTTTTTTGCAGTGTGTATTCATTATGTTTATAATTAGGAGTGAAAATGGTAAAGCAGTTTTTTTTTAAAGTCACTTAATGTTTACAGTCACCTGATGTTTATTAGAGCAGTACCATCTAGAAATAGAGACAGTTATTTATATTTTTGTAACCCCGGATTATCTAGCATAATTATACATTGCGAACTGTGAGCAGATATTCATTGAATGCATACTCTGAATGTAGTTGATATTGTTGAAAATATTAAAAGAATAGATCTCTTTGTCTCCCATGCATCAATTTACTATTATACAACCCAAAATGTGGTATGTATACCAATGTCATATGAGATTTTAGATAATACTCAAATTGTGTTTATATTGTTATGTATTATTTAAACATCTTAGCAAAAATAACTACCACATTACTTCTGTGACTTCAGGTATATCATTTAGAACAAAACTAATTTTTAAAAACTCAGTTTAATGAAAAGTAGTGATAGCAAAAACCATGAAAACAGTATAATAATGACTGATGCTTGAGAAATATTACAGTACTAAGTAGAGCTGGGTCCACAAAATACTCTTTCTGAGTCTGTTGCTTAAAAGTGAATTCTGCTTACCTCCTAGTAACTGTTGTGTTTTCTGATCCTATATACAGAACTTATGGTAATGCCTTCATTTTGGCTTTTTCACATCTGTTGGCTAGTTATTTTTTTATTACTCCCCATTCATGGTGCTAAAATAAAAGCCCATTTCCTACATTTCCTCCTAACAATATGCCTTTCATTCGATTAGTCTGAGGTCAAATGGTGTCTTTGTGAAGCTTTTTTACTATAAATACCTCTCTGCAGGAAAATTTAAATGTTTCTCTCTGTGTGGTGATTTGGAACATAGAGTCATAAATCAGTAAGCAATTACTTTTTGTTTATGACCAATCAACAACATGGGATCATTTTATTAATCATCTCTATTTTCCTTTCCCCAGCTCAATTCTTTGTACATAGTAGATACTCAATAAATATTCAACCAGTGAATGACTATTACAAGATTATAGAACCAAGAGAACCTAAGTTCCAATTCCATGCCAAGTCTTAAACTTCAAATTTGCTTTTAATTCTCCAAGGATAGATCCTGTGAGTAAGCAGAAACATAAGCTCCAACTTAAAGATGAATAAAACATGTAAGATGAGGTATACCTACACATGCAGCAGAGAAGCATATAATTGCTCTAGAAGTAGGAGATGAGACCTTTGGGAGTTTTGACAGCTAAAAAATCCAATCTAAACAAAAACAGTCTTTCATCTTGCTATATTGCTGATAATAACAGTTACAAAGTTCAAGATTTAACAGAAAAGTCATAAGTATTATTTTTTTTTTCTTTATAGGTGATCTCATTGCATCTCAGCCTCTGTTGTCAACTACATATGAATGAGTCATTTATCTCCAACCCAGACTTCTCTGAGCTGTATAGTCTTAAAGCCAATGACTTCATTGATGTTTTCTTTCTGATGACAGGCACTTCAAATTCAACAGACTGGAAACTGAACTTATGATTTTCCTCCACCAAACAAACACTAGTTATTTTCCAATGTTCCCAGTTTATCTCTCCATCTAGTTAGCTAGCTAACTCTGTAAACCAAGAAGTGTCATCTTTGACACTTCCAAAACTTCTGTTCCCCTTATCAAATGCTTCCATCACTGATGACTATTGGTTTTACCTCCTGACTCTGAAATCCCTTCACTTCTCTATGTTTCTGCTGCTGCCAACTTAATGCTACCCTCATTTCTTGCCTAGAGTACTGTTCTACCCTTAACTACTCTATTCACATCTACTCTTTTAGCTTTCTCCAGTCAGTTTTCTATAGTGTTGTCAAGGGGATCTCTTCAGTAAGCAAAGTCACATTATGCCTTTTGAAACATAGCATTGTCTTCCTGTTGAATTTATGACAAAGTCCAGCCCCTCTACATGGTTTTTGGATAGCTTGGCCTCTACCTGACTCTTCAGTTCCATTTGTTACTTATGCTATCTGCAATCCAGACATAATTATTGGCTTTTTTCTATCAGCTGATCTCTATAGATGCTTGTTGTTTAGAACAAATTTCCCTCATCTATTAGTCTAACTTTGACTGCTTAACTCCTCTTCGTGCTTCAAGTAGCAGCTCAGTTATCACTTAGAGACCCCATTATGTGCCCTTGAGAGCATGCTGTAACATTCCTTCTTGGAACTTATTCTAATTATAATTACATTTTTAATGTATATTGATTTTATTTGATTGGCAAATGTGCATCTGTCCTTTTCACTCATCTAGAAGTTTCAATGAGGGCTTTAATTGCTTTTCTTTTGCCAAAGATTGTATATTGAGCACCTAGCACATAGCAGACACTCCATAAACATTGAATGAATGTGCGATCTACTTGCATGATTTGGGTGTATATTAGGATTTCCATTCAATAACTTGGTTAAGCATGAATTTTACCTAGTTTATATTTTCCTTTCCTCTGTTTTATAGAAATAATATTTGTACTGGATTTGATTTAAAATAACTTGGATTCAGTTTAACTCAGTGTAAATATTTTCTTAGTTTCTCTCCCCTTTAACATTTTGCAGTGGTTCCACTCATAATGGCAAGAGATAGTGATGGTTATGAAAACTCAACAGATGGTAAAATGCTGGACAAAGATGCTCTGGAAGAAGATTCAGAAAGTGTTAGTGAAACAGGAAGTGATGAGGAATCAGAAAATGAAATTACAGATGATGGTAGTACTTCAGTTGATGATGGAAATGAAGATGAGGAAGAGGATGAAGATGAGGATAGTGAGGATGATGATGAAAGTGACAGTGGCCCTGATCTTGCAAGGGGTAAAGGAAATATAGAAACTAGTTCTGAAGATGAAGATGATATGGTAGTTTTGCTTCCAGAAGAACCTGGTTTTGAGCATGCTTGGAGAGAATTAGATAAAGATGCTCCTCGGACCAATGAGGTAACTTCTTATACAAACAAGGTTATTTGTAAAGTACACAGTAGAATTATTGTCATTGAATTAAGGTAGAATTAATGTCATTGAATTAAGTGGAAATTAATGTCATTGAATTAAGTAGAATTAATGTCATTGAATTAAGTAAAAAAAATCTTATTGGAGATGATATTCTTGATTATTCAAATTAAAATTTCTTGGTATGGAATATGTTTATATAAATTAAAAGATGTCTGTCCAAGCAGATGAGGAAGAAGATCTACATAAATAATTAAAAGTAACATGAAACTTTTAGAAAATACTTGTTGGTCAGGTTCAGTGGCTCAGGTATAATCCCAGCACTTTGGGAGGCCAAGGCGAGTGGATTGTCTGAGCCCTTGGGTTCGAGACCAGCCCGCGCAACTTGGTGAGACCTTGCATCTACAATAAATCAAAAATTAGCCAAGCGTGGTAGCACGCGCCTGTAATTCCGACTACTTGGAAGGCTGAGGTGGAAGGATCACCAGAGCCCCGCAAGTCAATGCTGGGGTGGCTATGAATGTGCCACTGCACTCCAGCCTGGGTGACGGAGTGAGACTCCAACTCAAAAAAAAAAAAAAAAAATATATATATATATATATAGAAAATACTTATTGTACCTACTGTACCTAGTAGAAATGTTACAGGATAGCATACTCAACTTTCTTACTAATGTATGGTGGCAAAATAGCTTAACAAACTCAATAGTTAAAAAATCAGTTCATAGGGTTTGAATCCTAGCTTCACCCCTGCTTACCTCTGTGATGTTTCACAAGTTACTCAGTTTGTCTGTGCTGTGCCTGCGTTTCCTCGTCTGTAAATTAAGGATAAGAACATCGGGCTATTCTGAGGATTAAGTAAGCTATCACATGTCAAGCATTCAATAAATGTTTTCTTTGCCAGAAAAAACAAACAAACAAAAAAACAGTTCATGATCTTGTTCTTATTTAAGAACTATGAACCACGTAAGAAATGCTTATTTGTTTTGACTTTATTATTGCTTGACTCATTTGAAGTTCTTTTTTACATGCTGAAACCACTTAGATAACTACTATACTGATGTCAGAGCTTGAGGAAGAGAAGGCATTACATTTTTAGAGTCTTTATTTTTCAAGTATTGAGAATGTGATATGGATTGTGTAATGTTTTTTCTCATTTCTCAGATTACACATCGATTAGCAGTTTGCAACATGGACTGGGATAGATTAAAGGCAAAAGATTTGCTGGCTCTGTTCAATTCATTTAAACCTAAAGGAGGTGTTATATTTTCTGTAAAGGTGAGAATTGATTCATTTTGAAGTAAATATGTCTAGGCATTTTAACTTAAATATTTTTTCTTTAAGTCATAATTTTCCTTTTTAGGGAAAACAATGTGGAAATTATCCAATACACTTAATTGGGTGGGGAATTTTTGTAACATATAAATGTTAGGAAGGAGTAAAATTATTATTATTATTGATGGACTATATGATTGTGTACACTTAAAAACCCAAAGAAATAAAAGCTCAGTAAAGGGACTGGTTATAAAAGATAAATACTTTAAAAAACAAATTTCATTCCTTATTTCTCACATTAGCAAATTAAGAAAAAAGATAATTTTTTTTTCATTGTGTTTTATATATTTTTGAGTATTTCCTATAAACCAATTTGGTCATTTGTCATGTGTGTTTACATTCAAAGTTCCTTGAGCTTATATCTTGTTTTGCTTTTCTTAATTTTTCCCTTGGATTCCAGAACCATCTTGTCCCAGGCAATGTGTGGAGGAGACATTCTGTTTTTGTTCCCAAGCTCCACATTTGTTATTCTCCAGCCAAAATGATGTACTTTAAAGGAAAAATTTCAGTATATTTTAACTTCCTAGAATGTGCTTGGAAGTGAGTCATCTTGGTTCTTTTTGTTGAGTCAAATTGTGACTCTTAGAGTTCCTGTCCCTAACAAGTTTGGATATTTATGAAAAGGAATGTACAAATCACATTGATCCTACTTTTTGTGTTTAGATATATCCTTCGGAGTTTGGAAAAGAGAGGATGAAGGAGGAACAAGTTCAAGGACCAGTAGAGTTATTAAGTATTCCTGAAGATGCACCTGAAAAGGATTGGTACTGACTATACAGCACAAGACTAGAGCTCATAAATTCATGTCACTAATTTAGAATTCTGGTCACCTTAGTAGTTAGGACTAAAGGTTACACTTGTGCCATGCATGGTTAAAACAGGTTGCAAAACAGATTGAAGTCGGTCAGAAGTAGCATATTATTCCAACAACACTGTGCTTATATATTTATATATCTGTAGTCATGAAAATTATTGCAGTGTTTGAAAAGTATTTCATAATTAAATTGATTTAGAGTTCTTTCAGCCTGATTACTCTAAGTAAATTTTGCTTTTTTTTTTTTTGAGTTGTTACTTTCCATATAAGTGGCCTTGAAGTTCTATTTACCTTCAAATTATATAATTTTTCTTATTTGAGAATTAATAGAAAATAAAAAATGATAAAATTTTATTTATCATCATGGTGCATGTGATATAGAAAATAATTTAAGGTAGTTTTTAAGCCACTAGGTGGTGCTATATTTACACTTAATAAAAATGGTGATTAAATAGATCCATGGCAGAAGAGAGCAGATTGATTAAGACTGTTTCACCAGTGCTTAGTGTGGAAACTTAAAAGAAAAAGTGTTGTAGTTAAGTGAAATTAAACATAACTATTTAGACTTGACAACACATGAATCTGGTGCAAACATGTTGCAAGATCAAGAATTTCTTTGTTATTAGAGCTAATGCTTTCCTAGAATATTGTATAGTATAGTGATCCTCTCCAGTGGTTTTACTTGAAAAGGCTATATGTGGTAGCAAAACAAACAAAATAACTATTGAAGGAATTAAAATTATAGATAAGCACATGTAATTTTCACACTCTCCCTTTCTAGATACCAAATTCCAATTGAAATACCCGTACATTGTCAAAATAATGAGTTGAGCCTAAGTATTTAATATTCATAAAGGCAAAGTCATGAGGGAAAGGTGGCTTGGAATGGAGGCCGTCTTGTAATATATTTTTCTTGAAACAATTACGTTTATTTTTGGAAGGGAGATAGGTTTTTGTATTTCTGTATAGGTAAGCTTAATGAGTTTTTTTCAACTTTAGGACCTCTCGAGAAAAACTGAGAGATTATCAATTCAAACGACTGAAGTACTATTATGCAGTAGTAGACTGTGATTCTCCTGAAACAGCCAGTAAAATTTATGAGGATTGTGATGGCCTGGAATTTGAAAGTAGCTGTTCTTTCATAGATCTAAGGTAATCCATTGCATGTCTTACCGGTTTTACCCTGTAATGCAACATGATTGTAAGAAGGGAAATATTTGAACTGGTAGAACTCTCTGTTTTATATTCTGAAAGAATTTTTTGCTTTTGGGTGAGCCCTGTTCTGTGGAGACTCCTAAGGAAAAAACAAACAAAATGCTGAAGTTATTATGTATGAACTATCCCCACATTTTTTTTTTTTTGAGTTGGAGTCTCACTCTGTCGCCCAGACTGGAGTGCAGTGGCCGCTCCCAGCCACCGCAGCCTCAACCTGCTGGGCTCCAGCGATCCTTCCGCCTCAGCCTTCCGAGTAGCCAGAATTACAGGCGTGCGCTACCACGCCCAGCTGATTTTTTGATTTATTGTAGAGATGAGGTCTCGACTGCCCAGGCGGGTCTTGAACCCGCGGGCTCAGGCAATCCACTCACCTCAACCTCCCAAAGGCGCGGGATTACTGGCTGAGCCACCGAGCTGGGCTGTATCCCCACATTTTTATCCTTTGAGACATGTGAGCTGTGTTTTTAAGATGATGTGTTATACTGTTGCTATTTCTTTGCAACTCTCTTTTAGAGATGAAGTAACTTTTTTAAAAGCATGGAGGTAGGGGGCAGAGGAATTTGCTAATAGACTGGTATCTCTAGATCTATGCTATCTAGTACAGTAGCCACTAGTCACATCTGGTTATTTAGATTCCAGTTTCATAGTCACATTACATACATTTCAAGTAATTAATGGTCAAGTTTTAGACAGAGCATATGCAAAACATTGCTGTCATCACAAGAAGCTCTGCTGGACAGCACTGCTTTAAATGCTGTTTCAGTGGATGAATGATGTTGCTGGTGATGTCTTCAGACTTGGACGTTATTTTCATCTGGGCTCAGGCTTCCCCCACCCAGAGCTAAAATCCTAGGTAGTTGTTAATGTCAGTTTTGAGGAAACAGGAAGCTGACTACTCTACCCTTTTATCATTGACCTAGTTCTTTTACACTGAGCACGCTTTTTTAGTGACACTTTCAGTAGAAATCACTTACTTGCATCCATGTTTGTGAGAGGCTTTGTTCTTAAAATGAAATATTTTAGAAAACAAAAACATCATATTATAGTCAGCTGCAGCTTTCTTGCTTTGAAGATATTCAGACTGGTAGAAAAATAGCAAAAAAATATTGAATTGATAATTAGGGGTAAAATTTTAGCATGCTTAAGTATGTAGCAAGAATGACATCTCATCAGGCAAGCTCTTTTCTGTTAACAGTTTTAATAGGAGGTTCTTATTTTGAATATGTAAGTAGTTATTTTGTTAGAATGTCAAACTCTGGGTTTTATAAATTCATGTTAACTTGTTCTTTTTATGTTCATGTTGTTCCTTGTTTCTTTCTGGGATATTCCCATGCAGTGTTAGAATAAGCTCTCACGGTGCCTCACAAATAAGTTCAATGACCATGGGAAAAAAATGTACATTTCTTGTTTTACCATGCATAACATCAAAAAAGGAAATAGTTTTCTGCTATCATTCCATTATCCAAGGAAAACTTTTTTCATCTACCCTGAAATATATGTTAAAGCAAGCATATTGGATAGTGTTTACAAATATTGATCTTAGGTATCAATTTTTCTTCTACTAATCCTGTGCAAAAGTGTAGCTGAAGGAGGGTATTCTGTTAACCTCATGAGCCTTAATTGCCCATTTCCTCCCAAAAAGCCACTCTTGATAAAATATATAGCATATACTTTTTTAAATGTGTATGTAAGCCGGGCTCGGTGGCTCAGCCTGTAATCCTGTGCTTTGGGAGGCTGAGGTGAGAGGATTGCCTGAACCCGTGGGTTCGAGACCCGCCTGAGCAACTTGGCGAGACCTCATCTCTACAATAAAATCAAAAATTAGCCAGGCGTGGTAGCGCGCGCCTGTAGTTCCAGCTACTTGGAAGGCTGCAGTGGAAGGATCGCTGGAGCCCAGCAGGTCGAGGCTGTGGTGGCCGGGAGCGGCCACTGCACTCCAGTCTGGGCGACAGAGTGAGACTCCAACTCAAAAAAAAAAAATGTGTGTGTAGAAACGAATTCTCATAAACTACAAAAGCCTAGCTTATTTAACTTTTTATTCTTTTTTGTTTCTTTTCCTAGCTTAATGCTTAAAAGTTGTTGATGATTACAATGGCTAATTTATATTTAACAGCTAGTTATTTGTGAAATGGATGTTGAGGCAAGTGAATTGCCTGAGCCCGCGGGTTTGAGACCAGCCCAGGCAACTTGGCGAGACCTCATCTCTACAATAAATCAAAAATTAGCTGAGTGTGGTAATAACGCACGCGTGTAGTTCTGACTACTTGGAAAGCTGAGGTGGAAGGATCGCTGGAGCCCAACAGGTTGACGCTGGGGTGGCTGTGAGTGTGCCACTGCACTCCAGCCTTGGCGATAGAGTGAGACTCCAACTCAAAAAGAAAGAAAGAAAGAAAGATTTTTAGTCTTGAAGAGTTGACCTTAAGCTTTCCCTTACTTTCAGTGCCACCTCATGTATGTGATACTTTGTATTCAGACCACTTACTCATTCATAATTCTATTTGATCTTCAAAATGCTATATAACCATTGACTGTGCTATCAGGAGTCTGGGTCTTTTTAAAACATGAGGAGCCCACATGTGTTTGCACCTGACTCATATTAACTGACTCCTAATGCAGGGTTTCTATCTACACAGCATCCTCTCAAATCTAGTGGAATTATAGATTTATAGCTTAGGAATTTCAGAAATTTTGTATCAAGGTTATTTCTAACATTGTTTGCCTCTTCTACATGTGTGTTCTTTAGAGGCTTTTATATGGTATGTATGTATAAACTTCAACTAATTAGATGAGAATCTGAACTCTGGTTGTTTATCATTGCAGCATATGTTTAAATGAATTTATTTTTTCTTTGCTTCTTAGGTTTATACCAGATGATATTACTTTTGATGATGAGCCCAAGGACATAGCCTCAGAAGTGGATTTAACAGCATATAAACCAAAATATTTCACATCTGCTGCAATGGGAACATCGACGGTACTTCTTAACTTTTATAAATGTGTAACAGAACTTTATTGCTTTAAGAAGAGATTTTGTGTATTATTTACTTATATCATCTTTAAGAAGAGATTTTGTGTATTATTTACAAGTACAAATAGAAATGAGACACAAGTGTGTTTAAACCTATTTTCAGATTCTTGTTATGCCTTTAAACTTATGTTCATTACCTGCTGATGTTTCTTTTTTCTCTTCTGTCTTTCCCACATACTTTTATTCAACTAGGTTCTTTAATAAGCAGTATGTCTGTTATTAATATCCTCAGCTGTGGAGGGGAGGTTACAGATTACCTCAAATCACAGTTAAACAGAACTAGTGAAAACTTAAAATAGGAGCACATTTTTCTGCAGATATGATACAAAATTGCAAAAAACAATTGATGTAGAGTAATTCAGGACTGAAAAATGACACTTAGTGCTTAATAATAGTCACAAGGTTTTTGTCTACTGAAATAGTGTATTACTTAACTGACTACCTTGTCATTTTTCTTTCTCCCCATGAACATTCTACTCATAGCTGTTCTCTGCAGCAGTCACACTGACTTCCCTCCGTCTATGTGATCAACCACTGTGCTCCAACGAGGAGGGACTGGTGGCAGAGAGAGTTGCTGTATCTGTCATCTGCTATGCTGTAGTGGGCATGGTGTGGCATTGATTAGTTCCTGGATATAGTAAAACTCTATCATGCAATATGGAGTCTAAAGATTCAGTCACATAAAACGTAACGGCATGTTATTTTCAGGACCAAAATAATGACTAGGGACAGCCTGTCTAGCCAGCCAGTCTGGTGTTCTGGTTTCTGGCTGTATCATCACCATCTGTCCTAGTTCCAGGAGTAGTTTGGTTGTTACCAGCTCAGACTTATTTGTTAGAATAAGGATCATTCTAAATCTTATGACTAGCTGGCAGTTCTAAGATGGTAACAATGATTTTAAGGATCTCTTGGTTAACTGGTGCCTATTTTGCTGTCCTTATCTGGGGAGATTGGTCTGAATAAAAAAAAAAAGAAAGAAAAACAACAAGGATGTGAAATCTACCATGTGTTGAAGGAAAAAAACCTCTAGCAGGACCCCATGTGATAATAGAGGCTGTGTACAGGACAGGAGCCAATCACCAAACCAATTATGTTGTAATGAATTCATATATCATGTGGGTTTAATGTACTTCCAACCAATGGATGCCTTTCTCATCAATGGCTCTTAATCATTTTTGAAAATGGGCCCCACTGAGATTTTGTAGGTAAAAGCCTACAGATTTCATATAGTTTGTGGAGCTCCAGATGAAAAACATGTTTTCACTGGTTCATAATAATGTTAACTTTCTCCCTAGAACATTTTCTTATTTTGATCACTGTAGTTAATTCACATAGTGATTAATTTTTACACCCAATAGTGGAGTATCCTTTATATAGCAGAGAATTAAAAACAGTTCCCTTTCCACAAATAGAAAACTATTTATAATCATGTCCTTCCTGTATTTGTTTTAGTGTGTCTTAACTTTTTTTAACTTACTGTTAAATATCCAAATTAACAATATATATTCATTGATAAGTTTGGATTGTTGACATTTTTTGTGTGTGTGTTGTTTTATGCATTGATGAAAGGTGGAGATCACTTGGGATGAAACTGATCATGAAAGAATTACAATACTCAACAGGAAGTTTAAAAAAGAAGAGCTTTTAGACATGGATTTTCAAGCCTACTTGGCTTCTTCTAGTGAAGATGAGGAGGAGATAGAAGAAGAACTGCAAGGTACTTAATTTTTAGTGACACATCAATGGAAATAAATCTCCGGCAGTAGCTTAAAGGGGAGAACCAAACAAATTTTTAAACAGTTTGCAAAGCATTCTTGCATGCACAGTATTATACACACCTATAGATAGTGGTTGAATTTTCTAAAAAAGTGTTTTCTTTGGCTGAATTTCTTATTAAATACTTGGTTTAAAACCCTTGACTTGATCTGATGCATATAGTTTTACAATCTTTTAGTAAACTAGTAAAATGCTGTATTATCAATGCCCCCCTCACCTCTTTTTTAAAACTAAGAGCTACTTTTAGATTGAGTTAACGTTTGTAGATTCCATTTTTCTCAACTAGACTGGAAAGTAGAGCCTCAGTTTCTGTACTTAACTTAGAAGTTATGGCTTACATCATTAACTTAGTAAAGTCTAATGATAATTAATATTTTACTCTCCTGGACAATATAGCAATATAGGAATCTGTAAACAGCTTTTTTTTTTTTTTTTTTTTTTTTGAGTTAGGAGTCTCCCTTTGTTGCCCAGGCTGGAATGCAGTGGCACTCTCATGGCCACTGCAACCTCGACCTGCTGGGCTCAGGCAATCCTTCTGTCTCAGTCTTTGAAGTAGCTGGAACCATAGGCACATGCCACCACACCTGGCCAATTTTTTGATTTATTGTAAATTTGAGGTCTTGCCAATTTGCCCAGGCTGGTCTCGAACACCTGGGCTCAGGCAGTTACCTCACCTCTGCCTCCCAGAGTGCTGGGATTATAGGCATGAGCCACTGCACCCGGCTTATAAACAGCTTTTATGCTATCATTGTGTATTATAATTCTAACAATTTTTGAAAACCCTTCGGGATGCAGTATTGCTGTTTTATACTTCCCTCATTTAAATTTGTCCACATTATCTCACTTCCTTTGTTCTTTCTTTCTAAATCTCATAACTCTGGAATCATTCTCCCTCTACCTTAAGTATACCCTTCAGGATTTCTTATAGTGAGTGTCTGCTAGTAGCAAACTCTCTTGTGATTTAGTTTGTCTGAAAGTGTCCCTACTTTGCCTTTACTCATAATGAATAGTTTCACTGGTAAATAATTCAAGTTTGGCAGTCTTCCCTACCCCCAAGTTGATAATGACATTCTACTGGCTTTGTTGTTGTTCTAGAGAAGTCAGCTGTCAGTCGAATTTTTTCCAACCTTTTGAGGGTTGTCTGGATTTTTTTCTTTGACTGCCTTTAAGGTTTTCTCTTTCTTTTTGGCTTTCCACAATTTTACTACAGTGTATCTAAGAGTAGATTTATTTTTATTTTTTGAACATGTGTTTGTTGTTGGATTTCATTTATTTGTGGAGTGCTATCTCTCATCAGTTTGGAATATTCTTAGCCATAATATTTTCAGATATTGTTTCTCCTATGCTTCTCAGACTCCAATTAAATATATGTTAGACCATTTAATTGTTTTTTAATCTGTTGTCTCTTTACTGCATTCTGGATATTTTCTTCTGATCTATCCAGTTCACTAATTGACTTTTCAGCAGTGTTGAATCTGCTAATGGACCTACCCATTGCATTCTTAATCTTGGCTATTATATTTTTCACTTGGAGACTTTGTATTTGGCTATTTTTCTAGTCAGCCATTTGACTTTTTATAGTTTTCTACTCATTTCAGATAGTTTCCATATTTTCTTTTATTTCTATAAACAGTAGCATGTTTTTATAATCTGTCTTGATAATTTTAATATTGCATTTATTTGGGGGTTGGTTTTTATTATTTTACTAGATATTTCTTTCTTGTTTACTTGTCTGCCTGGTTAACTTTGTGTATTGACTAAATATTTGAAATGAGGATATCTTCATCAGAAATAACTTTCATTTACTTTAGTTGGTCTAGAACCACATTACTCTAAGTTTCAATGCTTAAAATTCCCTATTTTCTGCAGGTGATTCAAGTCTTCATGAGGTCTGGTTTACTTCAGATTGATCATTTCTCTGGGAGTATATCCTTCTGGGTCCCTGCTTAATGTGGTGATACTAATTAAAATCCCTCCTTTTCCCTCGTAGGCTGCCCAGGCAGCAGTTGAGTTTCACAACTGTTTCTTCTGTGGATCAGGAAATAGCAAATGACCTCAGGACATAACAGGCCTTTAACTCTGGAGTCATCCCTCTGCTGTCCCCTTCTTGATTTTGACATAGTAATTCTTCACTAACTTGTCAGTTTTTTGGGGTTTTTTTGAGTTAGAGTCTCACTCCATTGCCCAAGCTGGAGTCCAGTGACATGCTCACGGCCACCACAGCCTTGACCTGCTGGGCTCAGGTGATCCTTCCACCTCAGCCTTCCAAGTAGCCAGAACTACAGACATGCACTACCTTGCCCAGCTAATTTTTTTTATTTATTGTAGAGATGAGGAGGTCTCGCCAGGTTGCCCAGGCTGTTCTTGAACTGGTGGGCTCAGGCAATCTCCTCACCTTGACCTTCCAAAGTGCTGGGATTACAGGCTTGAGCTACCACGTCCAGCCACTAGTTGGTTCTTTGAAACTTTGCTTTCATTTTTTAACCTCTGAAGCTTTTTAAAAGCTTTTTTTTTTTTTTGAGTTGGAGTCTCACTCTGTCGCCCTGGCTGGAGTACAGTGGTAGGCTGACGGCTACCGCAATATTGACCTGCTGGGCTTTGGTGATCCTTCTGCCTCAGCCTTCTAAGTGGCCGGAACTACAGATGCATGCTGCCATGGCCAGCTAATTTATTGTAGAGACGAGGTCTCACCAAGTTGCCTGGGCTGGTCTCGGACCCAAAGACTCAGGCAATCCACTCACCTTGGCCTCCCAAAGTGCTGGGATTACAGACTGAGCCACTGAGCCCGGCCCCCAAAAATTTTTAAAATATTTAGTTCAACCGGGCTCGGTGGCTCAGCCTGTAATCCCACACCTTTGGGAGGCTGAGGTGAGTGGATTGCCTGAGCCTGCGGGTTCGAGACCCACCTGGGCAGCAAGACCTCATCTCTACAATAAAAGTAAAAAATTAGCTGGGCATGGTAGTGCGCTCCTGTAATTCCGGCTACTCGGAAGGCTAAGGTGGAAGGATCGCCAGAGCCCAGCAGGTCGAGGCTGCGGTGGCCGGGAGCGGCCACTGCACTCCAGTCTGGGCGACAGAGTGAGACTCCAACTCAAAAAAAAAAAAAAAAAAAAATATTTAGTTCAACTTGCTGTCCTCAGTGGAAATGTTCATTGGTCTGAGTACCTAGCTTGCTGGTATTAGAAGCAGAAACTCTCAATTATCTTTATCTTTTTTGTATCCGGGTCTCAGTCACCCAGGAGGGGGTGCATTGGCTCTATCACAGTTCCCTGTAGCCTTGACCTGGGCTCAGGCAGTTCTTCCACCTCAGCCTTCCAAGTAACTGCAACTACAGGCGCATGCTACCTTGGCTGGCTAATTTTTTTTTAATTTTTTTGTAGATATGTGGTCTCACTGTGTTTCCTACGCTGGTCTCGAACTTCTGGGCTCAAACAATACTTCCACCTTGGCCTCCCAAAGTGCTGGGGTTATAGGCATGAGCTACTGTGCCTAGCCTCTTCATCTTTATTTATTTATTTATTTATTTATTTGGTGATTAAAATGATTAATAGTGTACAGTTGACCCTTGAGCAGTGTGGGTTTTTGAACTGTGTGTGTCCACTTTTATGTGGATTTTCTTCTGTTTTTGCAACCCCTGCGACAAGGCCAGCCTCTTATCTTCCTGCTTCTTAGCCTACTCAACTCAAAGATGATGAGAATGAAGACCTTCATGATGATCCACTTCCACTTAATAGTGAATATGTTTTCTTTGTCTTACGATTTTCTTAAGAATGTTTTATTTTCTCTAGCTTACTTTATTGTAAGAATACAGTAATATATATAACATACAAAAGGCAAGTTAATCGACGGTTTATGTTATCTTTAAGACTTCTGGTCAGCAGTAGACTATTAGTAGTTAAGTTTGAAGCGAGTCAAAAGTTATATGTAGATTTTTTTTAATGTAGATTTTTTTATTGTGCACTACATCAGCACCCCTAACTTCCATATTATGTAAGTTTCGACTATACTTTTAAATGGTATATGCTCTTTGTTTAAAATAACTCCTTTTGTAAAAATAAAGCCCCTATAACTTTTTTCCTATATTAGATCTTTTTGGAAATTTGGTTTCATGTTAGATTCTAGTTGATACTGACTGCCTAATATCTTCACAATTTCGTTCTTCTTATCTCTATGGTAGAAGAGTCTTCATTATGAAAAATTATTAGTAAGAGGACTAATGCTGACAGGAAGTGGAGAAGCATAAATATTAAACATTAAATTAGCAAGAATTAGTATTCTTTAATTTATAGCTTAACATTTTTCATACCTGTCTTTCTGGTTTTCCTTTTGTTTTTGTTTTTGTAACCTAAATGTCAAATTAAGTAAATCTTAAAATGCTTCTTTAGTATCAATATAGGGCTATTAAACTTTGACTTTCTTCGATCTTATGATTATCTATCATTGTTTCTTTTAGACTTCTAAAGATAGTGCTTTGTTTTTCTGAACTTTTCATAAAGTACTGCTCTTGAAAAATATTTCATACATGGAAAGTCATATTTAATCATTCTAGTTTCTTTGTTTAGACAGCTCATATTAATAAAAACCACATAATTGCTTAAGTAATTAATACTCTTCAAAATTTATATTTGCAGTGGTAGTTGAGTTGGGCACAAAAGCCCTCACATTTTCTTAAGGTCTCAATAGTTGATGTTTGTTCTTTTTTTTTTTTGGCATTCCAAAGAATTGGGTTACCATTTTATTTTTTAGTGTACACAGAGCAGTTGAGTCTTCAAATAGCCTCTATGTCTTTTACCCCCATAGATATGTAAAAAGACATATTTATCTACATTTCCTTTTTATTTTTATGCCTATATAAGCATTTAGTACTTTTCTGAACATTCTGGATAGTTTTTCTTTACTATTAGTTCTAAAATAAAAGAGCATTTCATTTGTTCCTGTGAAGATTGGGTACAACATTTTCAAATGGATTTCTTTGGTTTGGGAGAACTGAAATACAATTTAAAATGATATTTTTGACAGTAGGGCAGCTAGTGTTGTGAATAAGTAAGCATTAATTTTTCAGTACATTCTTTTTAAGGTCTTGGACTCTTCTGGTTTGACAACCTGACTTCACCCTACATTTGTTCCTAAACCCCCTCTATCTTTCTTTTCATAGTTATGAAATGAGGATACTAATAGTGCCAAGTTAATGATTAGAAAGATTGAGATGAGTATATAAAGTGCTTTACAAACTACTTTGTATCATATATTTTTTACTTTTTAAACTCTAATGACTAGTGGATTTTTGTTTGAAATATGCCTGTTAAGTTTTTAAAGGCATGTTAATTTCTTCAGTATTTTAATCAATGACAAAATTAATATAATCTGTAATTTAGTATTTCTCATAGATACACTAGTGTATTTGAATGCCTTAGAGTTAACAAAATGTTTCTGGTTATTTATAAAAGAGCATTTCAGGGTGGTTTACTGTTAGAATTATTTTTTTCACTCCTTACATAGTGTTACGCTTTCACAAAATAATGTCCTTGAATTGGGAAAAAACAGACCTATGTGAATTATCCCATATTTTAAAGCTTCAGAATGTAAGATTTTAGTACTGGAAAAAATCAATTTAAAGTAAGCCATCAGAGACTTACCACTAAAATTTCAACCTGGAAGAAGCTTGCTTCTAATTATGTTTTCAGAAGTAAGCTTTTAATAGAAAGAAATACATTGCCATTTGTTAATATGTTCCTGATGTTTTATCCATTGAATTACGGGATACATGACAGAATTCCATCCAACATTATTATTGTGGCACAAAGCACAAACAGGAAAAAAAATGAATTTCAGCTGTTTGAATGAAAATGTAAGTATGTGATAGGATGGAAAGAATGTCCTGGACCATTTTTCATTCATTTAGAGGAAAAAATAAAATAAAATTTACTTAACCAATTGTTTTCCATATCACCTTTTCAAGATATAAGGACAATCTGTTAACACTGATGTTTCACAGCCAAATGCTTAATAATTTCAGACATTTTTGGTGACCAGTTGCCACTGCTTATAAAAAAGAGATACTTCATTATGCTGCTTCTAAATTTTCTTTCACTTGGGACAGTCAGTTCAATAAGTTTATATGTTTTGCATTAAAACCCAGGTTTCTGATTTATGTTTTTGATTTGGAGAACTACAGTAGAAGTACAGAACAAACAAACTTTTTGTGTATTAGATTTTTTTGAGTATTTGTTGCCAATGAATTTTATAGTTTCTTTGCATTCTAACTATTCTCTTTTCTCATAAAACTAGGAAATAGAAATGGGAATTTTTTTCCCACACAGAGAAATTGATTGAATTAACTTCTAATTCATTCATTTATATTCATTGTTATGTTATATTATTTATTTGTTTATTTTGAGGCAGGATCTTACTCTGTTACCCAGGCTGGTGTGCAGTGACATGATCCCAGCTCACTGCAGCCTTGACCTCATGGACTCAAGTGATCCTCCCATCTCAGTCTCCCAAGTAGCTGGGACTAGTAGCCATATATATTTTTTGTAGAGATGAAGTCTTACTATGTTGTTCAGGCTTGTTTTGAACTCCTGGCTCAAGTGATCCTCCCCCGCTCAGGTTCCCAAAGTGCTGGGATTATTATCTCTTCTCTTTAGACTGAATAGCTAAAGCTAAGTGCCAGATTCATCCAACAGTATTCAACTTCCTTTTATTGAACATGACATTTTAAAGCCACTGTGCTGTATGATGGAGGAAATAAAGAGAGATGAAATATTATCCTTATCGTGTGCTTGTAGTAAGAAGTCCAAGGATGTTATGTGACAGCAGCATTATTATCAAAATACAAATTTTAATAAAAAAGGGATTCCCAAGTATACTGCTCATGACTGCTCATTTATATTGCAGGTGGTTTTTATTCTGTACAAGACATGTCTTTCATTTAATTCATTTACTATTCAGAAGTTTAAGTCAAATTTTGATATTCCATGGTTGAAGTATGTTTATCTTCTTTTAGAAGGGTGCTGGAATGACCATGAGATCTAAACACTAGAGTTGAAAGTAAATTGCTTCTATGGACTATATGATTTTGTTGTTGTTGTTGTTGTTAGGTGATGATAGAGTCAATGTAGAAGAAGATGGGAAAACAAAGAAAAGTCAAAAGGATGATGAAGAACAAATTGCTAAATATAGACAGCTCTTGCAGGTTATTCAAGAAAAAGAAAAGAAAGGAAAAGAAAATGATATGGAAATGGAAATTAAGTGGATTCCAGGTAAGAATTAGATACTAACTAAATGTTTTGTTTTAATTTTAGGATGTTGAGTGCATTTTAGATATGAAGAAAAAGAATCGTAACTTTTCTTTGAAAACTTTAAAAATCTTATTTTTTGAGAGGCTAAGGCAGATGATCACTTGAGCCCAGGAACTTAGCAGTGAGCTATGTTCATGCCATTGTCCTCCAGCCTGGGCAACAGAGTGAGACCCTGTCTCTAAAAATAAAAAATCCAAAATAAAAAGCAAATCTTATTTTTCAGAAATATTTTGGTGAGAGCCTTAGCACAGTATTTGTATAGACCATTTAACTCACATAAAGAGTAGCATTTTAGACTCTTACCAGCTTATTCTTGATTGGCTCTTTTATTTGCTAGCTATAAATTATTCTTATCCAGTTATGAAATTAGAATTTTCCTAGGTTTAATTCCTATCATCTCAGGATATCGAAATTTGAATCCAAGCACCATGTATTCTACAGTCTTCAAAATATATAATTCTTAGGTGGCCTTTTCTTCCATAATCCCTACTAGTCCTTAATTTGTGAGGTTTCACTAATGGAAAATTTGTATTACATAGTTTCCCATCTCAGTTTTACTCCGAATAGTCAAAGAAATATAGCAGAATATTATAATACAAAGTAATTACAATCATGTCAAAGGTAAAAACTAGGATAAACATGAATTGTTCTCGAGCATATAGTAGTATCCTCTTATACCCAGTTTCACTTTCCACAATTTCAGTTGCACAGTATAATACAGTAAGATACTTTGAAAAAGAAACAAATTCATATAACTTTTATTACGTATGTTATTATAATTGTACTTTTTAATTATTGTTGTTAATCTCTTATTGTGCCTAACATAAGTTAAACTATATCATAGCTATGTATGTATAGGAAAAAACATAATATGTATAGGGTTCAGTACTAGCCGAGGTTTCAAGGCATTCACTGAGGATCTTGGAATATATCCTCATAGGTCATGGGGGCTACTGTATACATTTTTTCAACAGTTCTGGACAAATCAGCATGTACTTTTGCAACCAATCTGGTTTTTCAGATTACTGCTTTATATGTATCTTTTAAATCTGGATTTGTTTGTTTTGTTGATAAGAATTCAGTTCATTAGGTCCAGTTAGTCTTAGAAGAAACAATATAACCACTTGTAGGAACACCATTGTTTAAAACTTAAAGGTGTTCTAGTATCAATTATTTCTATTTTTTTATAGTAGCATGCTTTTACACAAAACATTTGTATGGGTTTTTATTCGGGAAAAGAAAAACTAGGATACTTTGATATTTGCGAATTGATTGACTATTATAGTAAATTTACTAGGGTGGACAAGTCTTCTGCATATTCCTACAGGAATGAGGTGTTTCATTGTAACTGATTTGTTTTAAATGTTTGGCTTTTGCAGGAAGTAGTGATAAAAAAAGTAAAGTTTACTAGTGTATCATATGACTAGTGATGAGAAAAATTCAGTTGATTTAGACTAGAGAGGGAAAATCTAAAAAATGACTTTAATAGTTATTACCAAGTACTTACAGGATACATACATGAAGACTTAATCTCTTTTATTATGTCACAGGGTAGCACTACTGCCAGTGGATAAAAGTTGAAAGAAGGTAGAGTTCAATGTAATATAATGAGAATTTTTCTATGTTGTTACAATTGTTCAGCAAAAGACCATGAAAGCTGCTTTAAGAGGTTGAGCTCTCTGTGTCATTAAGTCTCCACAATAAGGCTCCCTAATTTTTAGATTTTCTGTAGAGACAGGCTCACTGTGTTACCTAGGCTGGTCTCGAATTCCTGGGCTCAAGTTATCCTTGTCCCGTAGCCTCCCAAAGTGTTGGGATTACAGGCATAAACCACCACACCACACAGGATAGAGCTACCCTGTGACTTTTTCTATCTTTTAAAAAGGAGCCAAGAAATACTCTTTTTTAAAAGATAGAAAAAGTTCTGTCTTTTAAGTTTTGGAAGATAGAAAAAGTTCTGTCCTTTAAGCTGAATACATTGTAGCTTAATTTTAATCTTAGAGGTGGGCTCAATGTCTCATGCCTATAATCCCAGCACTTTGGTAGGCAGAGGTGAGTGGGTTGCCTGAATCCAGGAGTTTGAGACCAGCCTGAGCAACTTGGCAAGACCTCATCTCTACAATAAATCAAAAAATTAGCTGGACATGGTGGTGTGTACCTGTATTTCTGCTACTTGGAAGAATGAGGCAGAAGGATAGCCTGAGCCCAGCAGGTTAAAACTGCGATGGCCATGAGCGTGCCACTGCATATATAATATATGTTATGTCTATTATATATTGTGTATATATATATAATTTTAATCTTAGAATGAGCTTATTGAATGAAGATATTTTATTTTTTAAAAAAAATTTTATTATAGAGATGTGGAGTACAAGTAAGGGTTAACTACACAAGTAGGCTGCATGCAGGTGAGGTATGGGCCTCCAACTGACCCTCACTTCTGTGGTTTGGGACCAGGTACCCTTTGTGTTGTTTCGTGCCCCCTTTCCCATCCTCCCTCCCCTAACAGTGCCCAGCGACTGCCCATCCATCCCTTGTGCTAATGTGATTAATGTTCAGGTCCCACTTATGAGTGAGAACATGAAGGTATTGAGTTCTTTGATCTGATTTGCTGTGAAGTGCATGGTTTTATTCTTCTTTATGGCTGTGTAATACTCCATCGTGCATATGTATCACATTTTCTTTATCCGGTCCACTTTCGATGGGCAATAGGGTTGGTTCCATGTTTTTGCTATGGTGAATAGTGCAGCTATATATAAACATGCATGTGTAGGTATCTTTTTTGTAGAACGATTTATGTTCCTCCGTATATTTCCAGGAGAAGGATTGCTGGATCGTGTGGAAAGTCAATTTTTTGTTCTTTTAGGAATCACCACACTGCTTTCCATAGAGGGTGAACTAGCTTGCATTTCCACAAACAGTGAAGAAGCACTCCCTTTTCTCAGTACCTATGCCAGCACCAGTTATTTTTTTAATTTATTAATGATGGCCATTATTTTAATGTGAACATTTTTAAATTGAAATGTTCAGTTGTCTGAGAAAGAAGATTTAAAATAAATTGGATTAAGATGTTTTATAGCAAATATTTCAGATATTGTAATATACATGCCAGTTATATGGTACAGATATATGATATAGGTCCTTCACTAAGTGAACCACACCAAGTGGACTTTAGTCTTTATTAATGTAGTTATGTAGGACAAATATCCACATGTGATATTTATACTTGTATCCGTAATTAGAAGATTGAAGTAATACATGTTTCCTGGGATACAACCCCCACTTGGTCATGGTATATTACCTTTTTACATATTCCTGACTTGACTTAGTAATGTTTTATTGAAGATATTTACCTTTGTTAAAGAGGGATATTGATCTGTAGTTTTCATTCCTTGCATTGGGTTTTGGTATCAGGGTAATGTGGACCTTATAAAATGTAACATTATCATCTGTAATTCCACTATCCCAATCCAGCGACTGATTAAGTAGATTGCAGTTTAATTTACCATTTCCGTTATTGGATATTTAATCAAATTTCTAATCTTTCACTACAAGAGATTTGTGACATTGAAAAGAAATAGGACAAATCCCAAACCCACAAATATCCGTCCTTTTTTAGATCTCTTCATTTTCATCACTAGACAAGTAATTGGGTTGTTTTTTTTTTAGAGCCTTTTGGTTTTAAAAACTTTTTGTTAACAAAGATGCCTCAAACC